CAGGGCCGCAGAGGGCAAACAGAAGCAAAACATGCCTCAAGCGGCATCGTCCTCAGTAATCTCACTCTCACTCTCACTCTCACCCTCACCCTCCCCTCCCTCCTCAGGCCCCTCACGGGCAGGGGACCCCACCACAGTCTCCAGCTCCCAATCCGGCTCAAGCTTGCCGTCGACATGTTCCCGGTCCGCGTCGTCCTCGCTGTCAGAAGTCTCGTACTCCTCAGCCAGGGTGACGTCAGGAAGGTGGCGGTGCTACAAGGAGTCAGTGAGGTTAGTGGTGACAAGACAGAGGTGATACGTACGATAGCCTTCTGGAGGTCATTGCCAAGACGAGTAGTGCAGTGCAGGCTTTGGACCTCCGACGCGATCTCAAGGAGGGCGAGGCCGAGATTCACCTTCTGCGGCTGCGAGTCGTGACCCACGCGGTGGCGGCGACGAAGGAGATTCTTGCCTTGCATGACGTAGGCTGTATATTTCTCCTGGACGGCTGCTAAGATCTTAGCACGGTTGTTGGCTAAGGTCTTGGAGAAGGCCTCCTCATCGTGCTGGACGGCGTCGCGATACAGCTGGAAGGCATCGGCAAGGCGATTGAACTGGTGGAGAGCGAAGGTCGGGATCTAGGCTGTTAGTAAACAGACAAGACGTAGAGGGTCTGTGGACTTACTGGGAGGCACTTGTTATGTTGCTCCACGCAGTACTCGCAGCGGCTCATCGGATTCTTCTTCTCCAACAAGGCATCAACGGCAGCCAGGCGTTCTGCTTCAGTAAGCCGAGCCTCTGGGATAGCGGCCGCAGTTGCTTTGCCATTGTTCTTCTTGTGGGGGGCCATGATGGTGAAGTCATCAGAGTGAGGTCGGAGAAGGGAGACCTACAGATCTATCAGTATAAGGATCCAAGGTATTAAGAACAGTACTCACAACAGAAGGGAAGCGGTAGCTACACGCGACAGAAAGCAGGAAGGACTTGGTGGTGTTGTTGTGGGTAAAAGTGAGAAGAAGAAGGAGGGAAAAGAAGAAGCGGTCACAACAAAACACCACAACAGTACGGAGGTGAAGCGCCTAGCCCGACAGCCTTAATCATTAGGCCAGCGTGGCAGTGGCACCCTCATCAATAACCTCACTTCACAGAAGTTGGTGGGGTGCTGTCAACACTAGTGAGGACATACATCCAAAAACTCAGTTGCATCAAAGCAACTTAGAGCACGTAGCATTGTTCACCAACTCGATGCTAACAACTTGCGATTAGTTATGAAGCAACGTATAGTACGTACGAAGGGGAAAAGGATTGTTCTAAAGGGTCACTTTCATGTTTCTACACAAGAATTGTGATGCAGTGATGGAGGCGGAAAAGGCGACACATAACCGAAGTAAGAAAAAGCGCAAAACAAAGGACAAGGACGCCTCCTTAGACATTGAAATTGACAAGTATATTGAAGAAGAAGCAGGGGAACAATCTAAGAGCGAAGGTGGATCATGTATTATTGTTGATTGTAGTTAAATTTACAGATTTGTTAAGTTCTCTTCAAAATTCCACCGCGTTACACCATCCCCCGCGTTACGCCACGACTTACGTTAAACTGTAACTGAACTGAAAACTGCAGTTTAAACTGCAGTTTTAGAAAACTATGACTTAAAGTGCAAGAATCATTCCTCTTTCTTCGTACGAAGTTGTTATGTTTAAAAAACAAGTTATTTAACGTACATGTATAGCGAAAGCGCCAAACAAGCGAAAGCGCCAAAATTATCTACCCTCACGACAAACATTGCGATAAATCTACCACAACATTAGAAATCAATTGAAACTACTCGGAGTCCTCTTCCTCAGAGGTGTCTATTACAATCTGACACGTGCGCGCATTGTGCCCAGTCTCACCACACTTGCCACAGCGACGGGCACGGGTTTCTTCCCTTGGCTTCCGACCACGGCTTGCCCTTATTTCCTGCTCTACCTGCTGCACAACATCCCTCTCATCCTGTAGCTCTTGCGCCCCTTGTTGACTAAGTGATCCTCCTTGCTGTAGTCGTGTTTTCCTAGCTCTCCGGCGCTTGCTTAGTACTTCATTTGCCTGTCGTAGGTTTTGGTTCTCTCCCTTTAGCAGTGCTAATTGATGCATTATTTGCGATGCACCCTTTGTAAACTGGTCAACAGCTGCATAGATTGAGGTTGGAGAGCTATTTTGATGGCGTGAAATCCGAGTTTTAATAAATGTAGACTGTGACATAGCTTCAATTGGGTTGTTTGGTGTCTGAGAAACCCAAGGTTGAGCAGTACCTGGGCGGGAGCTTGGAGGCGTTGGTGTCCTTAACTTAAGATCAAGTGTAGATATCACTCTCTCAGGGTCAAATGGAAGAAGCCCTGCCCCTCGGAACCCGCCTCGAATGTTACTTTCCGTCATTGTAGTGTTAAATGCAGCATGGAAGGCAGGAAAGAAGTCATCCTTTGTAATATGAGAAATATGAGCCTGCATCATATCTTCAATTTGCCGACCATAGGCCTGCTTTAACGGGCCGAAACAGCCAACATCAAGTGGCTGGAGTAGATGAGAAGAGTGAGCAGGCATACAAAGCGTAATAATGTTGTGTTCCTTGCAGTACTCCTCAAACTCATCTGAGTGGTGGCTCTCATGACCATCAAGGACTAACAAGCGATAACCACCAACACTCCGGGCCTTTGTATGCTTCTCAAAGTGCTGAATCCAATCCATGCCTCTCTCGTTTGTAGTCCAGCCATTTTCAGTAACAGAAATCACCCAATCGCTTGAAAATCCACTATTCTCATACCAAGATGTAAGGTGGTTTTTGCCTGCAACAATGATAAATGGTGGTACTGCCCAACCTTGAGAACTAACGCCTTGGATTACTGTAACCCATTCCCGATTACCAGGCTGTACCTTCTTTGCTTTTGCCCGCCCGTCTGAGCTTGTTACAACCATAGCAGTTGAGATAACGCCCATCATAAACCCAGTCTCATCAAAGTTGTAGGTATCTGCTTCATCGATACCATATTTCGCAATTGTGTTACGCACAAGCTCAAACCAGCCATTAATAACTTCTGGATCTTCGCACTTAGCCCTCTGGTAGTCGTATTTGCGCTGAAAGCGTGTCTGGAGCTCTACACGTTGCTTAACAAAGTTTGAAGCCCAACGCGACCCAACGCGTGACGCGTCGCGTGTTGCAAGTAGTCGACTTGCCATATCTTCAACAACAGACAGCCGAGGAGGAAACCCTTTGGCAGCTAGGTCGAGTATATACTGAACAAGGACGGACTCCTCTAGGTTAGTTAATTTCCGTGAGTTGGCTTGGATATCGCGTCGTGAAGGTACACCTTCTAGACGACGACCTAGCTTGCGGTGGTCCACAGAATAGATCCTAGCAGCAACTCGAAGGCGTAACTTTGGGTCGCTTTGCATAGCCTGGATAGCTAGCACTAATTGGCTTTCATCGTTTTTATGGGGCATGTTTTGTTGTTGAGGAATTTAACATTTAGTTGGGGGGTTTGGTCACCGCATCATTTTGGCGCTTTCGCTTGTTTGGCGCTTTCGCTATACATGTACGTTACCTATTATCATATTATACATTACTCTTGTATATTGCACTACACTATTCCATTCTCCTTTAAATCTCCCCTATACACTCTACTATACCCTCATTTAATACCTATGCTATGCTTATGTTTCTTCTTATGGGATAACTCTATTTCTATAATAATGATAATAGAGATCGTGGTGTTCGAGCTTCGGGTTTAGCGCCCGCCCTAATCGGGCAACGCGCACGCACGGGCCTGCCGCCGCTTTCAACTTTCTATAAAGGGCCACTCCCTCCCCCCAACTCTGTCCCTCTCCCACCGTCGCTCCTGCCTCCCAACATTCTCGCTCCTGCCGCGCTCATCGTGCGACGCTTGGCCCCCTTCGTCCCTCCCCCTTCACACTGCATGGCCCCCCCCAACGGATCCCCCTGCTCAGCCTCGCTGCAGCTGAAAACCCGCAGTGGCACATGAACACATTCGCAGAGCCACGTCCTCGATTTACGCTTCTCGATGGCCGCGCCTTCCATGCCGCCGAGCTCTTCGCGATGGCAGCGAGCCCTCTGAGCATCGACGTCTGGTAGTCGGATCGGTCAAGATGCGACATTGAGCGTTCAGATCGCACCTCTTTCGCCCTTCTTCGTCGCCCCCCGACATCTTCGCCGCACACATCTGAAGCCCCTTGCGGCTGTGGCATGCGCAATTTGCCACGAGTGCCTTGCGCGATGACCTAGCCAATCGCAAAAATGCCTCGCGGTGACGTGGCCGGCCCTTGCGTACGCAGCCCCGCGGCACCTTTTGCGATATTGCGAGTTACGTGCACTGAGCAGCGACAGTTGCCTCACTCTAGGCTGATCTTCGAGAGAAGGGCCGATTTATGCTTGCGAGTCTAGCTTCCTGGGGCCCTATACCTTCAATTCGAGGTGCCGATACGGGAATACCACCGGGATTGCTTGCGGACAAATGGATATTGGGACTGGGGTGGGGAGTGGACAACTATTGCAATCTGGTAGAGTCGTCTGACCTAGGCTTTCAGAGCGATCGCCTTCACAGCACGCATAGACCGGACATGATTTCTCCTTTTGGCGGCAGAGGGCCGGCCGCAGCGCTTTCAGCTGGAACTGAGACCCCGCTCTTTAGACCGCTCAAATTGCAACAACCCAATGACCAGAATGCGTCGGGATACGATGTGTCTTGCCTCTCTTTGACGCAAATGTCTGGTTGGTGGAATCGGGGTCAAGCATGTGGCGGAAAGTGCACTGCCTGGCTGCGGAGCACGGAAAAGGATGAGGGGACAGCCGGAGCATGAAGACCAGCTTGGTAGTAAAGGCTGCATGTTTAGTAGGGAAGCAAGGGGGCTCGCAAATTCTAGCGAGTCAACAGGGAGCGACCGTCCGAATCTATATAACTCCTTGATTGCGCTCGAGAGTTTCGTTCTAGAAAACCATTCTCCCACTCATGTCCTATTCTGTGTCAGCATGGCTACTGTGAACATGAACTGCATTGAATTCTATAACCCCAACCCCAAACGTACCTTCAAGGCCTCACAGGTTCAGCCGACGAAGTCGGTGTTGAACAATCACCGGCAGCCTCTACAACCCAACAGATCACCATCTGCAACGTTAGCGGGGGATGTTCAAGATAACCACTCGTTAGATGACTCTCTTCCGTCGCTTGAAGAGCTGCTCCGTCCTCTTCAAAACGGAGACATCCCTCGGGTGCCACATCAAAACCACAAGCCCCTCCATATCTCGAAGCGCCAACTGAACGACGAGGGCCATCTGCTTACAGGTGCCACAACCCCGAACTCGGCCTATGTGCCAGGCAATACCCAAAGTAGGTTTCTTAGCTCGCTTCTCTATGCGCACACAACTTACCAATTCCACGCAGGAGAGCCCCTAATTATCGAAGATGACAGCGACGATGAAAGCGACGACGAGGCTGAGGCTGGAGCTGCCTGGAGCGATCTCCAGCCTCAGCTTCTTGCCAGCATTGAGGATCAAGACGCGAGCGAGTGTGGTCTTGCCACTCAAGATACTGCCTCGACCGCCAGCAGCCTATTTGACCCCTCTACTCCTCGAGACTCAGATTATCTCAGTGCTGATGGTTTCTCTAAGGATGGACAACAACTCCCGTCTTTCGCAGAGCTGGACTCGAAATTTCCTGTTCACGTTCGAAGACCTTCTCCAAATTGCTCTGAGCTAGCTGAGACAACAGGTCATGATCAAATTCACCAGGATGTCGAGAAGGCCATAGTCGACGAAATGAGGCCTTCTCCACTACGCGAGAGGGCTTGTGGATCGTGCGACCGTGGCTACGTCTGCGATATCGAGGATGAACTACAACAAACTTCAGCAGAAGCGGGGGGACCACTGCGTTCAAGCGCAGCTCACTCCCAATACAATCAGATGGACCAGGAAAGTCAAAATAATACAGACGTTCGGGGTACTTCGAGGGAAGAACGATTATGGGAAGAGACAATTGAACAGCAGCATTGCCAACAAAATGAGCAAGAAGACGAACAGGAGGACAACACAGAGGCGACCAGTAGCGAGGACAAACGCCCGATTAGCTACTACCAGCAAACAAAGGACAGCCCTCAGCACCAACAGCTGGAAGACAAGACCATAATTGCAACCCCTCTCTCACAAGACCGCGAACACAGCATCAAATCATACCGTAAGGACAATGAGGATACTGAGGACAACGAGGATGATGAAGATGACGAGGATGTGCGACCTCCAAGACGACGAAAGCGCCGCCGCAGAGAGTCTGACGCGATTGAAACCGCCACCCTCAAGAAGGTCCACACGCGCTTGTTCACTGTAGCCCAAGCCCAGACCTGCACTACTCGAGGATCTACAGTTTCTCGGAGTTCACCAGACGATGCGGAGTCAGCTCTAGGCGCAGACTACCAAGAATATCCTCTTCAGGGCTTTCTCAAGCGTGTGAGGATTGAACGGGAGACAACTTACAATCTAGAGTTCAAGCTGAAAGATCCTCCAGATTCGTTCAGGCCATCAATCGGTCTCCACATATCAAATTGCACATCTAGCGGGGAATCAGTTGGAGGATCAACGAATCCACGGGTTTGCGCATCCCATGCAAAGAGGTCGCGGCCAGCTCTGCAGAAGCAGAGAAAGTGACCGCCTTTGCGAGAACGAATTGCGAACAGACCTGGTATGCAATCGACATATTCAGAAGACGACGACGAACTGTTGATACAGCTGAAAGAGAAAGACAAATTGCCATGGGACGAAATTGCGGAGTTCTTCCCAGGGAGGAGCAAAGGGACATTGCAAGTGCGCTACAGCACAAAGCTGAAGAACCGCTCGCAGACGTCGAAGTACAAGAAAGGCAAGGGAGTATGCTCATCAGCGTTTTCAACGGACTTGGTTGATCCACAGCTTCGAGATGCCCTTCCTTCCACATCATCTCTAGCAGCAACTGCAGACTTCATCACGGGTCCTCACAGAGACATACTATCAACTGGGAACAAAGAGCATACAACACTGCAGCTGCGTTGTGGCAGCCAAGGAATGGAAAGCGATACAGATGAGATCTGCGACGTTGAAGTGCTGCTTGCCAAGTTGACAGTACGTAATGTGGTTTGGTACCTCGTGAAGTGGGAAGGTTTTGGTGATGATGAAAATACATGGCAGGAACAGGGCGACATCAGTTTGGATCTTGTTGACAATTTTGAGGCGAGCTATCAAGGGAACTTCGGTGTGGAATTACTCAAGAAGCGAGAACGGAGAGGGAAAATTAAATATTTTGTTAAATGGAAGGGTCATCCAGCGGGTGAGAATTCCTGTGTAATGGTGGGTGCACCAGATATGAGAATCTAGCCACCCAAGGAAGGGATGAATTTACTAAGACAACACACTGTCTTAGGAAACAGAGCCAAAGGGTTGTAGCTTAGACTATTCCACAACGCAGCAATCAGGTGTATGATGTGGTGAAGTGGTTTAGACAAGTTGCAACAAATGTTGAGTCTGAGAACTCAGGGGTAAGTCAGAGGTTAGCACCTCACTGACTTTTCAAAAACAGAGAATAACAAGATCAATGCTTGGAAGCTTGGAAAAGACGTAGAAGTATGTGCTAGTCGATTTACTGTATTGCCTGCTTGCCCTTTCTTAAGGAAAGGGCAATCCTATTTATGCCAAAGGAGTGTAGTTCTCTCATTTTCCATGACTTTCCATGACTAACCAGGCTTGGTAAATGTATTAGAAATCAAGTGCGACCCACAACTAGCTTGCTAATCATGTAGTGAACGTAAGAGAATCCCATAGAACCATCTCTTGGGTTCCTAGCCTATAGGAAGTGAAAAGGAGGTCCAAGGTCAGAGTACCTATAGACAAATTATGTCATAACTTAACCAATCTTGTGGGTAACTAAGGAGCGATGACGTGTAATGAATCATAGAGGGTTGTAGAAGCTTCTAGAGCTATCGTTCATGTTCCTAGGCCTCTAGTTGGTAGAGATATGCCATGTGGTAGTATTGGCCCACCCCCTTAAGGAGGAGATTTTCTTAATAACTTGTTCAATGAGTGTCCAAATGATATGCCGTGATGTATGTAGCATAAACAGATGTAGTAGAAGAGTTTGCAGCAATCGTTGAGTAGTATTGCTTCTGTTGTTGGTGTGATAAGCCAAGATATGTATGGTGACTTGTAGGTTTGAGGAGGAGATTTCTAAGTTTGCTCTTGAGTTTGATAGCAAACTGAGTGCAACGAATGTCAGTATGACATCCTGGGAGAAGGAAGATACAATACACTCTGAACGAATTAAAGAGTTTGAGACAAGGTGATAGAGGAGATCATTGTATTATATCTTAGGGCTAGCAAGCATTTGCATAAGAGATGAGTTCCCTTTGGCGATAGATATTAGTTTCAAGTATGACATATCTTGCGCCAGGGGACCTTGGAAATCCATGCAAACTGTGCCACTTGGCACGTGGGTTGATATAAGCACGTGACCACGCGCGACGGCTCGTTTCGTTACGAAATATCTCATGAAGGTTCATCCGAATGAAGCAATCGAAGAGGCTCAGGAAGGATTCATGGGTTGGGAAAGGTTTAAGGAGGTTGATGATATACCGGATCCTTCATAGTCAAACTAAGGATATTTGAAGCGGCCTACATCGAGACAGATCTCTTAGTTCTGTTCGTCCGATCGTTTGATTACATTTCATACTATCACTATACCATCAACTTTCCCAAGAGCCGCGCAGGAAACAGTACGCCTCAAAATGCTAACGCCAAAATTCTCCCCTCTCACCGGATTGCATTGTTGAACGCCTTGATCATCCCATCGTACATTATATTATTGTCGCGGAATGTTCCTGTAAAGATCGGTCCGTCCCTGATTGGAAAGAGGACATTTCGGCAACGTCATTCTATAACACCAACTGATGGCACGAAACAGTCCATATCCTTGGCTAGAAACTCTCCTCGGCAATTCTACACATCGATGGCCCAGCTAATCTGCCCCAATTTCCTCGCGAAATGCAATGTTATACGTTTTGGAACCAAGGGTGCTCAAGAGCCTCCCTGGCCGTGATCCTTCTCGAAGGATCTAGACTCATCATCTTCGTGATGACATCTCGAAAGCATTCGTCAACATCTTCCCACATGGAGAAGGGTTTTCTTGGGTTAGTAGTTGTGAACTCCGGGACTACAGCCAGGACGAGGTCACGCCACGGAGCAACCGAGTCATCTAGGTGCTCCAAGAGACCTATCAGTCCCGGACGATCTGCAAAGTGAGAGAGCAGTCGTTTTACAGTAAGTTTTTCCTTTTCCGCTTCACTTAATCCTTCTATATCAATACGAAAGATAATCTTCTGAAGCATGGTATAGATGCACTTTAACAAAGTCAGCCAGATATTCCTTCCCATGGAGAGAGATGCACACTTACAACCAGACCGAAAGAAAATATGTCGGAGGGTAGGTTGATACGGGCGGCAGCATGGGCCTCGGGGCTACGCCACATTGGATTGCCCAGTCGGGCTCCACGGACATTTAACCCAGGTGGAATCATAGAGCCCATCTCAAGGTCACCAACCTGGACTCGTTTTACCTCGATGTCACCGTCAGGTTTCTCATCATAGTCCACGAAAATGTTGTCAGGCTTGATATCTTGTGAAAGGACAGAAACTGTCAGCGCCAGTCAAATTCCGACCATGGCTACGGCTTTGCTTACCGCCGTGTAAAATATTCTGTTCATGCAAACGTGCAAGTCCAACTAATGCGCCCCGCAATATTCTCTTCTTTGTTGCGCCAGAAAGATTCTCTTTCTCAGCCACTCTCAGAAGATGATCAGTGCAGTAATTATAGACAAACAGGAGGTGCTCGGGAACAGTGTCGATAACGACTCGTAGATTAGGGCAGTCTCTAAGAGGAGTTTGCATATTGAGCTGATACTCAAACTCGGTATGAAAGATGTTCTTGAGGACGTATTTCCTTTCATCTTTAGCACTGTTGACCACGGAAGATTAGCAAAATAAGCTGTCGGGTTTCAAAGCGTACGTACACGGCCAGGTAAACACAAGCTAATATAGGATCCGTCCTGTGTTGGAGCATTCGATCAATCTGGTACTGGATCCCGGATTGACCAACCAGTTTCGTGCCACTCTGTAGGGGTTCGGGCTCTTTGCTGGAAATCTCAATCTTTGGCTTGACACCAGTTCTACTGCGTTGGTCTAGAGAATCGGGAGCGCTGGAAGCGTTGGGAGCGTTGGAGGCCATGTCATGAATTGATGATGCATTTGTTGACGCGAATGCAAGGCGATGGCTGCAGGACTGGAATTGGATAGCGGGGAGTCGCGGTATCGGAAGTGGTTTGAAGCCTTTTAAGAGAGAGAGGAAGGCACGTTGGCGGAATGTCATAGCGACTAAAAGGAGTCTGAGTAACGAAATAGTGAAGAAGCACACAGAGGCATCCTCTCAGCCGTGACAATTGGAGTAACGGTTGATACAAGTACCTTACTAATCCGAACTTGGCCTAGTATGAAATAGCCTGCCAATTCAATCAATGTAAGCTAAAAATTATGAACTTGAATAACTATGACGTCAATCTAAGCCAAATGGATCGAAGCATCTGTCATGTACGGAGAGTTTATAGCAGATCAGTGGACTGAGTTTATTATCGCCCGTTTCCCCAACTGCTTTTAAGGAGTCACAGAGTTTGGTACTGTCGACATCGCTGACTTTCCTTTCGTTCTCCGTTCGAAAGCTGATCTGTTCAATGTAACCGCCGACCCCTGTCCTCTTGATGCAGACAAGATTGGATATGGACACCTACAGATCAATGGCGGACTGGTTGCCTAATTTGAAAGCCATCAATAAATATAAATATGAGCAAGTTTATCCCCCAGACTCAAACATTGGGATCCCTCACAAGTCTTTCGATCACCGTCCTCGCAGGTTTTTTCTCAGCATCCCTCTTCAAGTTTACGGCAAAGCATCCCTCTCAATTCTCACTATGTCTGCAAAGTACGTTGCTGGCACGGCTATAAAGACTCTCCAGCACGGTTCGAGGACGATTGTGTTGGAGTATGTCTCTGAAACTACTGAATGGAAGCGGTCCTATATCAACCAGGACACCCTTGATAAATTCGTCTCTGTTGCTGAGAAATCCCTCGAAACTTTACGTCCAGACACTGCGTTTGTTTCCATGAAGTATAACAATCTTCTCGAATGCGTCATATAGTGCTAACCGTGCCATTTCAAATTATAGGGAGAAGGAGCATGAAAGTGACAGTGATAAAAGAAGCCATTTTTCTGTCCTGGAGTTGGACAAGGCTAAAAACGTTATGGCATCTCGTCATATGGTCAGAAAATGAGGTTCACTTTTTGTTTGGGTCTGCTACATGACAGCCACCGTTCGTGGCGACTATATAAGCCAATCATGACCGAATCAGATGGATTCCTTGATAGCATAAATAGAACTTACGTTTTGTGTAACAATCGAGACACACATTGTGTATAATTGGGAAATGAACCTATCTGGAGGCGGATCTGCCTCACTCACCGCCTTGTGAAGTATTATCCCACCAAACAGTTTCAGTCGCAAGGTCAAATACCCGCCATGGCTTTCGAGTGAGCGAGCAAAGTCGTTCATACTTCTCCCCACAACACAGAACCTACCAATATTACTGGATCTGCTACCAGCCTTGCTCAGCCTCACCTCCGATAAATTCTCTTTTGCTCACCGAGGCCCATGCAGGTGCCCGTGGAGGAAGTCTTGAGGATGGTTATCAAGCGTTATGTGTCACGTGGCAATTGGTACACGCAGGGGGCTGCCAACGAGGCTGCGATTGACCATTTCGCACATCGTCACAGCTGTATCACGTGAGCTAGATAACGCCAAGCCTAAACAGATTCGCCAACACGTCATTGCTCCAACACCAAAAAGTGATCCAGCACGTCGAACCTTCGAATGTCTCTCAATAGTTTCCTTCTCTGTGGTTGAATGCCTGTCACCATCACGCGACCCACTCGACAATATTCTGCACGCCCATAGATGATCACGTCACAATTTCGAATGGTTAAATTATATAGAGTCTTCACCGTGTTCGGTCCATCTTTTCGTGCCTGAAAGGCACTCAAGCCTGAAGTGTGCCAGGGGCTTCACTGTCTGGTTGCTGAGCAAGGTCACATGGGCATCGAGCCCCACCACTTGTAAATCGAGCAACAACCTTCATTGCCCCTCATCAACCTCTCCTGAGCGACGATACCGACTCAGTTGTTCTATCCGAACCAACCTCATTAAAAAATTCCTTTTCCGCCATCATTAAGGAGCAGTCATTGCGCTTTACTCTTGCGCTTTGCCATATATTTCATTTCACCCAACGCTGCACATCTCTACCTTCTCCCATCACCAGCCTGAAGGCATTGGAGCCTAACTGGGCCAGGGTGATTTCGGCCAGTATCGGATTGCTGAGCAAATCACATGGCATCGAGCCCCACCACTTTCACTGAGGGGCAGCCGCCATCGACTATCTTCTATCGTACGTCAGCATCCCCATTCCGCGATTTATTTTTCATCAGATTTATCTCTCCACTCGACGCACCCACCTTACGTCCTTCTACCGCTACTTAACATATTCTATCAAAGGTACAAGAGGGTGCCTTTAACTCTGAATACTCGTCACCTCCTTCGGCCTTTGCGCAAATAGGCAACCTCATTCTACAGCCACGTCTTCTACAGCCAAGGTAAATATCAGGATGAGCATCTCCAACTCCACAGCTACTTATGTTATATAGGCGATAGTCACATTCCACCGATTCATCTATAAGCAGGCAGGATCCTTAGCACACTTTTTGTGATCATGGCGGTCAGATATTTTGAACTTCCATTTTACGCCCTCAAAGTACCTATAGCTGACACATGTGTACCTTTGTAGATCGGCGACGACGCTCTTGTTGGAACGGATGAGATGATCCAGATTAATACCTTTCCCCCAGACAATTCCAGCGAAAGGACGATATTGTTCAAAGGCTATTATCTTTCAATCTACAACAAGGAAACAGGAGACAACAAAACCCATATAATGAACCAACCCATTACAACCACATATGAGAGTTATACGGTGCCTGCCGGGTATTCTGTTCACGTCAGAGGCGCTACCGTAATGCCAGGATTAGATCTTTGATATCTTCAAGTAGCCGTGGCATGCCCATAATGCCAGTGGCGGTCTACGACTATCAATTTCTAGTTATAACTCTTAAAATTTCAAGAGACATTACGCCCTCTCTGTTCCTAATAGACTCCATTGCAGCATGAGCAACGTACGAAAACGCCAAAGCCAGAATTCATGTAGAAGCAGAAGTACTTTGACAAACAAGGCATATGAGTACGCAGAACTATACAGCGCAGATGTTGCCTTGATCATCTACCAGAAGGGGCGCTATTATACTTACGTATCCTCTGGCAATCCATGTTTTCCACCATCCATGAAAGAAATTGTAGGTACTCTTCTGACTTTGATGACTTTTTACTAATTAGTGGCAAGATGAATTCTTTTCCTGTTCCTATTAATATGTTGCAACGGAAACGCAATCCAGAGCAAGTGGGAAGTAAAGAATAGGGGTGCGAAGATACGCCACGGCGCCAAGTAGACGGGATGAGGCCCTCACCAAATGACCGATGGCATTGATAACCTCTCCCCACCAACAGTGCAGGTTCATGCATGCAAATCAAATATGTTGCTATAGCTGGCTCTACATAGTGTGAAAGTGGTATATGCGCCTTTAATTAGTATCTGCTGTCGTTCATAAGCCGGCTCTGAATAGGACAGATCATTTCCTTAAATTTAACTATGCTCTCTTGCATTTGTTGAAACCTGCCTGTTCAAATGTGAAGAAGAGACCACCAACGACGGAAGACGTGTCTGTGGTGGCTAATGGCCAGAAGTCGTAACCGACAGCAACGGCATGGGGGGCGTGGTTAACCCCTGACGATCGCGCCACCCCACGGGACCATCCGATGATCCACCATCATATTTCTTCTGATGGCACTCTGGAAAGTACGTACTGATGTACTGCCCCGCTACGTCCCTCTGAAGTTGTTTCAAACAAGGGTAGGTTGGTAGGAATAAGGCTTTCACAAGCAGTAGCATCCCAAAGTGCGAACTCAGAGCAAGATTTAATATGAGTCACCATTGTACTATTACCTTCTATAGTCTGCGATACCAAAGACTTCTATGCCCCCTAACAGAATCTATATATTGTTACGGTTTTCCCAGGCTCCATCACTCTCCATCGCTACTTTCTCCCTTTGTTCTCCTCATTGACTCAAGTGTTCCACCCATCAAATGCTACAGCATTTCTATGCTTAGTCTCATCACAGCAAACGTATCACTAGCAGAGGGCATTCTTAAAAACGTCAACGTTAACTTGTCGATTTTGCCTGTACAAGGTAGTTCGTCTCGCAAGCCCGCTTCTCTAATCTTCTGCTGCTTGCCAGCAGTTCGCCTCCGACCATCCGCCTCTATTTCCAATGTCTCTTCGCTCAGTTAGTATGAGGGGAGGACAGGAGACACAGCTTGCTGATACTCTAACGCCTGTTGTTGAGAAGAGTCATTCTCGCTCCCCATTAATGTTTCTGGAACAGCCCCATCCATTGTCCAGAACCGAGAGGGACTTTTGGTCCGCAGGAAAGAGTGATATTCCATCATTTGGTTGCAATCCATGGGACTTTTATGAAAAGTTTTTAGAACTCAAATCGGGGACAATCCTAGTCGTCGGCAATGATAGGTCTACAGTGCGAGCAATTCAAGAGTGTGACGTTGTTCGATCCTCAGGCGAACACGACGTTGAAACTGCAACATTAACCTATCAATCTCTTCTCTCCATCCGACATCCCAATTTTGTTGATGTTTGTGAGTCGTATGTGTTTGAAAGCCAGGTATTTGTTATCACTGAATATGTTGGATTTTGTCTTGATGATATATTACAACGCTCCCTCCGCCTCTCAGAGCCTGAGATAGCTTATGTTATCAGTCAAGTGAGTTGAACCTTATGTTCTCCATCCAACGCCAGTACTAATTCAATAGGTTCTGGCGGGCATAATATTCATCTGGTCGAGAAAACTCGAGCATCCTCGTATATCAACACGGAATGTTTTCATATCTCCGAACGGCGAGGTCAAGATCGGTGAGCAACAGTCACCACAGTGCAGATTTCCAGACTGACCAACCCTTCTAGATCCTACGGATTTTCCGAGCAGTGATGGCCAAAGTTCGAGAAACATGGAATGTTTGAAGACCCTCATGCTACGCATGATGCATGCGACCAATGAGACGGTGAAAAATCTTCCAGCAGAGTCATGCTCAGCTGAGGCAGTCAGCTTTATGGCGGCCACTTCTTGGGCGTCTCCTTGTGTACTCTCTGATGTAAGTCTCTAGATGTAATGCATTGTTTGCCGCTGATGGTTTCCAGCACGTATTTATAACTCGCTGTTCGAGCACTGCGACGGTCCTGAAGCCTCTCTGTGTATTGTCTAACATCATGGTTGGTCAAAATGTGAGTTTATTTAAAGGATTTCAGGACAGATGTCTGTGCCTTGAATAATGATCAGCTGTTCCTTGGCACAGAACAGTCATTAGATCTATAGATATAGGAGCAAACACTGAATCCTCGCCTGAATGAGGGCAGATCATCTCATTAAATTTAAGACTGCTTCCTTGTATTCTTTGAATCTGCCTGTTCAAACGTGAAAAAGAGACTGCCAACGTCGGAATGACATGTTCGCGGTGGCTAATGGCCAAAAGTCGTAACCGATGGGGTGGAGGTTTAATGGGTGGAGGTTCAATGGGTGGAGGATAAATGGGTGGAAGATTATTGTATGGAGGTTCAATAGGAACGGCACGAGTGAGCGATGAGGACAGAATAGAGGTGGTTAGTTAACCTCTGTCGATCGATGGGGACCACCCTGACCCACTTTGGAGGTACGTACTGGTACGTACTGGTACGTACTGGTACATACTGCCTACGTCACCCTGGAGTTGTGAGGATCGGCCTATAATAAACAAGGGTAAGGACAGGGCTTTCGCAACCCCTTCAAGCAAAAAGGTCACAAAAGCGCGAATGTTGGTTAAGTTGCAGTGGGAGTCATATTGTTCTATTGCATACGAATGCCCTTTTCCTGCACCCCACTTTGTTCATCGTTACTTCCTCTCTTTCTATTTCATTCTTGTCAAGCCAGTGACAAGAACTTCTCCTGTCCCAGTCTTCACTAGATGAACAAAGCAGTCACGCCAGAGAAAGTATCCCCCTCGTCTTGTTGAAAGATATTTACCAGAATCAGCTACTCGTAGAGCCTGTGCATTGACTGCATCCTTCAAAATGGCGCCTCATGAACTGTGACCCCCTCTTCATAAAACGTCACAACCTGCTGCCGACGATTGCTGGTATGATGAGAATTTGGTATTATAGCCTCTGGGAACCACCGCATGGTTATCTGCCGGGGGTTATCGATATGATCAGGTGGTGCTTAAATTGAGAGGACTTGTGCCTGAAAAGGGCCATATTACGTTTCCTTCACGCTAATCTGTCTCTAGATGTACCAATAAAGCACTCATCGCCCATACCTATGCCGTCATGAGTGCGCTTAGCCATAAGCACAAGAATTTTTGCCGCCTGCCGTCACGCCGTGCCCACCCAAAGCTTCGCTCTTAGGCGGTAGCGACAACTGCCTTGCTATCACTAAATCTCCCCTTGTACCTGTGCTCCTACTAATTACAAGCCGGAAAGAAAAGCCCCTCGGATCCACTTGAAATAAGTTAATTTAGTGCCAAATGAACCCTCACCTGCATTTTCGAGAAAGTTTCCTTACTGATAGCAATCACGTGGGAAATTATGGCTCTCTTATACTTAATTACTCTCCAGACGCCCCAGCAATCCTGGTTGCAAATTACTCTGCAATGTCATGATACCGTTGCCACTTCTACTATGCACCCACGTGACTCTCAAAGGAAAAGGAACTTCTGACATTTTACGGTAGCTCATTCCCATCGGTGCAGACAACCATCTTCCGTGCGTGGTAAGTGTGAGACAGATCTTCGGTGGCCTTGCGTTTCAAACCGATGACTCTCTTGGTTGCATCCGTGTGGAGCTTCACTGCAGATTCATGCATCTTATCAATAGCAAGCTCGTCTTCTGCAATAAGGAGGATTGTGTGTGTCCTATTATTGACGACTACCTGAAAGCATTCTTCGGGGCTCATCATTCGCATATATGTGTTGAAAGCCCTGATTCCTCTAGTCATGTAATCGTTGACCAACCGTTCGATGTTAGACGGATTCTCTGGATCGACTGCGAGTGGTGTTAGGTATTTCCAAGTACCGTCCTCCCATCTAATAAGATTGATGTCTATCTCTCTCTCCAGTCGCTCTCTCTCCAGCCTCTCCAGCCTCTCCCTCTCCAGCCTCTCCCTCTCCAGCCTCTCCCTCTCCAGCCTCTCCCTCTCCAGCCTCTCCCTCTCCAGCCTCTCCTTCTCCAGCCTCTCCCTCTCCAGCCTCTCCCTCTCCAGCCTCTCCCTCTCCAGCCTCTCCCTCTCCAACCGCTGCTTTTCCAACCACGCTTCCCTTTGCTTTTTATGTTCCAGAAGCTTCCGCTTCCATCTTTCTTGCTCGGCTGGCGTCGGGCTGTTCGTAGGCTGCTCTGGGTGACCACCATCACCCATTCCTTCCGCCTGAGGTTGGCTTGGACCTGCTTCTGGGACAAACAGGCCCCCGTCATCTTCTGCAGGTTCTAGCGCACTAGGTGACCGGTCCGTTCGGGTCCCGACCGTGTGCTGTTGACCATCAGGACTTGGGCCATGAGGTAAATCTCTGAAGTCTGGAGCAGGAGGGAGAGATGGAGAGCGGCCATGGCTACTACCCTCTGCAGTTGGCCTCCAGGTCGGCCAGCCAAAGAAGGCAAGATAAACTTGTTTTCGGATGAAGAAGTTTGTGATGCCTTTGCCTTGCTGGTCGCTCTCGTCATGGAGGTGATTGATAAACCAGAATTTCTGATCCTCGTTGAATTGCAGCCTGTGTGGGGTGCCGCATCTATGGGCTATCCCTACTCCGGATCCCGACGTAACAAGCGGGGGATGCTTCGATGGTGGGGTTTGCTCGGCGAGTGCAGCTGGATACTGCTGCAAATGCTTTATCCTGGTACTGGTAAACCCCAGCTGGTCTGCCAAGTCAGCAAAGTGGCGGAGGACGGTTCGGTCTGCCATCGCTGCAGGTTGCATCACGCGGCACTCCTTCACTGGTTCCCTCGGCATATCCGCGAAGTGCCGCATGGCATACGCAATGATCTGCCGGTACCCGAGATCGACTTGGTCTCTGCGCGTCCCCTGCCCGTACACAAAAGCATTCTCGGCGACCTGAATCTTAGTCTGGCCATCCATGATCCGAACGCGGCCGTCCTCTTGATCAACAGGGGAGAATAGTTGCTTAAAGGCATGAGAGATCTGGACATTGTCGCCCGTTAGCTGCTTGACGCAGTTCGCAAGACGCTCCAAGTACCTAATGTCCTTGAAGAAGGTTGCGAGCGATGGAATTAGGCCATCAATGCACGTTAGCCGGCTCCAGATATCATCTCGCTCGCAGTCGTCGAAAGCGCTGAATAGCTCCCCCCCACGCACTCGAATGCGGAGGAACTCCGCGTCCGCCGTTGACGCTCGTGGTGCCTTCATCTCTAAAGCCTTCACTGTCGCTTGATCAATCTTCCCCATGGCAGCTTTATTGTCACGTACAAGATCGGACCAGACCTGCTTGATGCGGCGGAGGTAGTGTAAAAGTTCCTGTACCGAGAGAAATCAGCCAAAATTAATCATCCATGCCAGCCCTCTGCCTACCGTATCACACTTCAGAGCCATCACTGTATGCAGTGTACTGATCTTCATCCCGCCCCAGAGACCTGGGATGTCCAGCAAGTCATCGAATGCTGCCGTTAGTGTCTCATTACGGGTGAGCGTCAGCAGGTACCCCTTCCGCTTGCCTCGCAGGCGCGCCTTCCACCGCATTTCAAAGTTAAAATTCCGCTGGAAATGGTAGCGCCGCATCTTGTAGTAAATCTCGCCATCGGAGGGCTTCTCCTCGTTGGAGTATTCTTCAACGAGGCATGTTTTTAGGTCGACATTCAGGTCTAGACACACGTTAGCACGACCCATATGTCAGAAGGCCTCAATCTTACCTGAGAGGTACAGATCAACTGTCCACCAATGGTCCCCAGGATGGAGAAATTCCCGTCCAGCTTCGATCCTGTGCCAGCCGTGGAGACACTCGAGATGGAAGCCAGTCGGAAATTCTAGCAGGGGATAATTAGGGTCCTCATCATTAGTCAGCAAGTCGTCTGCCGTCCCTCCCAACCGCTGCAATGCAGCATCGAGGCTTTCATGGTCGATGATCGCAGGGACGTGATTGCAGAGAGGCACTCGATGACATCCTTCCTTCTGAAAACAATCCATCAGGAAGTCTGCTTGTCTCTGGCTGTATTCACGTGGCTGATCTTGGCGGAAAAAGAGCACGTCGAGACTGATGCGCGCAGTACCCTTGTACTTCAGTCGCCGCTCTTCCTCGAGCATGGAGTCCTCGTTTTGGGCTCGAGACTGCTGCATATCGATGGATGAAGGCAGTGGACCAGAATGGAGCAGGAAAGAGGAGAAGAATGGTAGGAATGAATGTGCCCTGGGACGGGTGGTACTTATACCATCGGGCGATGGTATAAGTACCTATTCTGGGCTCCTAAACAGGTACACCCCCCATATGCTGCTGGTGGTCAAAGGCGTGTCCCTTCTTTTCGACTCTAACATGTTCCAGTCCCTGTTTTATTCTGACATAAATACCCCGTTTGCCCACCTGCTGCACACCAGTCACAGCTGCCCTTAGTTAAATCGAACTACGAGTAATGGAGTCTCTCTCTGCCAAGGACCAAGAACAGTCTGCTTCAACTACTGCCGACGATGTTGAGCACAATGTTTCCGTCAAGGGCAATCGTATAACGCAGCTCGCTTTTTTCAAAGGGCTAGAATTCGACACCAAAGAGCGAGCCGACACACCAGAGGAGAGCGTCCCTCCCGGCGTTGCCTCGCTGATTTCGAAGGAGAGAAAGATTATAACATCGCAGGACCGCGAGTCTGAGCGACGCCGCGATATAAAAGCATCTCTGAACAGCCGTGAGACAGCCACTAAGTCCTGTCTCAGGGAGCTACAGCTCGCGAAAGCTGCCCAGAGCGGTGCCAGCGTGCTCGATTGCACAGTCCAGTCCGGATCGCCATGGGCCCGCTTCTGTGAGAAGTTCGAACTGAACCTCGGCGGATATGTTCCCCTCGTAGCTGATCTGTCTCCCCCGTACGATCTTTTCATGGTGAAGCGCCTTGAGGGACCTGACGCCGCCCAGAGGGTCCGCATGTTATGGAGAGTGCGGCACCAGAACTTCCACAACATGGTTGAGTGCTTTAACTTTGAAGGCTCTCACTATGCCGTCTTTCAGCACCTTCCTGTCACACTTGACAATATCGTGTACTCGCCTCCCTACCCTACCAAGCTTGAGCTGGCTGCGGCACTGGCACAGGTGCGTCCTACGACTATGATGGGTTGACTGTTACGACGGAACAAGAAGGCTGGCCAACTACAGGACAGGAAGGAGGGAGGTCGCATGAGACCGGCCCTGGTACCTGGAGGGGCAGCGGGGAATAGTAGTTCCGAAAGTATCACGTGACGGACTCGCAGGATGATGAGAAGAGTCCTAAGAGTCCAGGACTCCGAGGACTCTGAGGACTCGAGTGAGTTCCCAGGAGTCCACTAGGCACGTGACGGACTCGCAGGATGATGAGAAGAATCCTAAGAGTCCAGAGGACTCCGAGGACTCAAGTGAGTTCCCAAGAGTCCACTAGGCACGACGCCACTATATAAGTAGATAGTATTTCCTTAGATAGGAGCTTCGTGCTCAACTCAATACAGTATTTGTTATATACTAGTAACGTGTTACTTGAAGCCTTTGTGTCTGATCCCCTGCCTCCTCTGATAAGTAAACCTCTACGCAAGAGAACCTCTGTGTCTTCTATCGTTTAGAAGTCAGCGTTACACTTTGAGCACCACTTCTACGAGGTACCGGCTTACACACAAAGCAACATGTCTGTCGTCAGTTCGAAGGGGAAAACCCCCACCACGCCAACTTCGTCTCAGAGGTCTAAGCCTGAGAATGAAGAGATGCCCGATGCACCCACCGTCAATGAACTCAAGGAAACTCTACGCGTCAAGTTGCCCGACACTTACTCCGGCAACCGAAAGGAACTTGAGGTGTTTTTGCTACAGGTCGAACTGTACCAGCACTTCAATGATGAGAAGTTTCCCACCCAGGAGAGCTATGCCCTGTGGACTGCGTCCTACCTTAGGGGGGAAGCCCTGCGATGGATCGAACCATTCCTCAAGGACTATTTCAAATATGAAAGTACCAATGGAAGCATGACAACTACGCAGACTATGTTTGGCAGCTGGAAAGGATTCTGTAAGGAAATACATGTTCAGAGACATCGATGAGATTAAGACCGCAGAAGACCATCTGTTTGCACTTAAGCAGACTGGCAGCGCCCTCACATACTCCACAGAATTCCAGAGATACGGCAATCAGACAGGATGGGACGCCAGCGCACTCATCAGCCACTACCGACGTGGTCTGAAGAGCCATATACGTATGGAACTTGCCCGTTTGGAACAACAACCAACGGACATGGTAGCGCTAATCGAACATACGGTCCGAATCGACAATCGACTATACGAATTCCAGAAGGAACGTCGGACCTATGACAAGCCCAAGAAAAGTTACCCCTACCGGGGAAACGAGGGCAGACGACGGGATCAACACCCGCGAGACAACCGTTGGTCGGACCCAATGGAACTCGATGCCACGTTCAAACCTGGACGACCCCGTGACCCTAAGAAAGACAGACAATTCAAGGAACGACTCTGTTTTAACTGCGACAAGCCAGGCCACATGGCCCGAGACTGCAGACAGCCAAAGAAAGGGAACGGCGGACGCAAAGTCGGCAAACAACTCAATGCCACCTGGACAAGACAGTTGAATGCAACGTTTGTGAGCAAACAGGACTGGGGAATAAACGGCGAAAGCACCCCAGAAGACGAGAGCTCAGATGAAGGGTCGGAGGCGGAATCGTTCACCGTCTCGGAACAGGAGACCTTCGATGAACTCGCACCTACGGAACCAATGAGTCCACGGTGCAAGAGCGTAGTAAGACGCATGGCAAAACACGCCCACGCGAAGGTAGATGCCTTTAAGCGTGGGGATTCTCCTCTGGCCGCTGGGCCGAACGAGACAAGCCCAGCGGCCAGAGGAGAATCCCCACGCTTAAAGGCATCTACGGGAACCTGTTACAGGAACTTCCGTTAAAGTGCAAGGTGGACGACTGCAAGGATGACCTCTGGAGATACTACGACCAACTAACGAATACCCGCAGGCTGCTTGGCACGTCCCAAGACGTAGCTAAGTTGGAAGCCCAAGAAGCGGAAGAACTGGAGAAGGATGTCGAGCATATGGCTAAACTGAAGTATATGAAAAGCGTCAAACTTTACTACCAGGACCGCAGGAGAGCCCTGAAGAAGTACGACGAGAAAGCCAGAGATATGCTCTGACGGGAAAATGCGAGACCCACTCCACGCATCGAAAGGAGAGCCATGGAGCAACTAGACACGTTCTCCACGCCTCCGAGGGAAGATAGTGCATGGGTGAGAGGACAGCGGGAACTATCAACGACAGACGCAACAGAGACTGATCATCCCTGGCACGCGTATGTCTACTGGGAGTATTGCAGCGAAGATGACTGCAAGCTCCACTGGAAAAAGAAACACCAGAATCAGTTGTTTCCCCGATCCTCGCCCAGGATACACTTCAGAGACGCAGAGCAAGTTCACGCCCTCAGGCGAAGCCAGTCTGAAGGGGACTTGCCTATCAAAAGCAAACAGGTATACGAGAAATACCCACATCTGCTAGACGAAGCAGAAGAGCGAGGGAAACGATCTCCCCCAGGACCTCCATTGGAAGCGGATGACTATCCTTCCTCGGACGAGTCAAAAAACTAGGAGTCCTCGACGGTAGGCCACCGGCGAGCGACACGAAGAGGCCTAGTACAGACCAGCTATGCGCCATGACGGGCAGCATGCAACTATATGTGGTCGCTAAGATACAACAGCGACACCTCCGAGCAATGATTGACTCAGGAGCGACGGGCAACTTTATGACAAAGAAAGTAGCAGACACGCAAGGTTTCAAGACGCAATTGAAAACTGAACCATACCCGTTAATGGTCGTAGATGGAGAGCCCATCTCGACTAATGAAGGAATGGTGACCCACGAAACGGTCCCATTGGAAATGGTCATGCTACACGGGCACAAGGAAACGATTCAGTTTGACATCGTGCACATGGACAACCATGCGTGCATCCTTGGTATGCCATGGCTCAAGAAACACAACCCCCAGATCGACTGGTGGAACGAGAAAGTTGTGATGAGCCAGTGCGCGTGTGAACAACGGACGGACACGCGACAACGGGAGAAACCCTCCCAGGGCCGGAAGGAGTTATGTGCAACCTCCGAGCTCGATGACCTAGCCCAGGCATCCTCACCGACGAGTATACCGGTGGAGTACAAGGAATACGAGCAATTATTCCAGGAAGGCCCTAAGAACGAGGCGCTTCCTAAGCACCAACCATGGGATCACGAGATACCTTTGGAGAAAGACAAGAGTCCACCATTCGGACCAATATATCAGCTATCGGAAAAGGAGCTGAAGGTACTTAAGGAGTACATCGATGATAACCTAGCGAAAGGATTCATCAGACCATCCACATCACCAGCAGGAAGTCCGGTGCTTTTCGTACCAAAGAAAGACGGCTCCCTACGGTTATGTGTGGACTATCGAGCGTTGAACAACATCACAATCAAGGACAGGTATGCCCTGCCGTTAATCAACGAACTACACGATAGATTTCAAGGAGCAAAGATCTTCAGTAAGCTAGATCTGCGAGGAGCATACAACCTGATCCGAATCAAGGCTGGGGAAGAGTGGAAAACAGCATTCCGCACCCGCTATGGCCTATTCGAGTATCAAGTCATGCCCTTTGGGCTAACAAACGCACCCGCATCTATGCAACGACTGATGAATGATGCTTTGCACGAATACTTAGACATCTTTACCATTGTCTACCTAGACGACGTCCTGGTGTATTCAGCAACCAAGGAGGAGCATGTCAAGCATGTCAAACTCGTCCTGAAGAAACTAAAGGAGTACAGCTTACTCCTCAAACCAGAGAAGTGCGAGTTCCATAAAAACCAAGTCGAATTCTTGGGTTACATTATTGGAACGCACGGCATCAAGATGGACCAAGCAAAAGTAACGGCAGTGTTGGAATGGCCAACACCGACCACGGTCAAGGAAGTGCAAGCCTTCCTAGGCTTCGCCAACTTCTACCGAAGATTCATCTCGGGATATTCCAAGGTAGCTCAACCACTCACGGAGCTTACCAGAAAGGATCTCAAATTCAAATGGACGGACAAGGCAGAGGCTGCTTTCCAGGAACTTAAGACGAAGTTCACGGAAGCACCTATCCTTGCTACATTTGACCCTGCAAAGAAGATCATCCTCGAAACGGACTCTTCTGACTTCGCAATTGGAGCATGTCTGAATCAACCAGACGAGAACGGTAAGTTCAAACCAATCGCGTACTACTCTAGGAAACTGTCACCCGCGGAACTCAATTACGACATCCACGACAAGGAGCTACTGGCTATTGTCGTTGCCTTTGAGCAGTGGCGAGTATATCTTGAGGGATCCACCTACCCTGTGCAGGTATGGACGGATCACAAGAACCTCATATATTTCACCACGACCAAGGTTTTAAACCGCAGACAAGTCCGCTGGGCAGAAACCCTCGCAGCCTACAACTTCACGATAACCTATCGCAAGGGCTCCGAGAATGCAAGAGCAGACGCTCTCAGCAGACGGACCGACTACGCCGGCCCAAAGGAAGAAAGACCTAGAGCAATTCTGAAGAAAACAGATGCAGGAATACAGTACAACGAGTTACTAGCGACGATCTCAGTCATCGAAGATACAGAACTCGAGGAAAGACTCAAGAAAGCTTACGCAACAGACGAATGCGCCAAGCGAGTCTTGTCCAAAGTTGAAGGCGACTTCGCCATCGACGAACAAGGATTGATTCGATACAAAGGGTTAGTGTATGTCCCAAGTCAAATGAGACGCCCGCTGGTGCAAGAACAACACTCGTTACCAGCACATGGTCATCAGGGAGTAACACGAACCTTCAAACGAATCACCCGACACTACTACTTCCCAGGTATGAGGAAGCAGGTAGAGACAGTGGTAAGAGAGTGCGACATTTGCAGCAAGTCAAAATCCAATAGGCACCTGCCATACGGACAACTCAAGTCGACACCAGTACCAAAAGGAGCGTGGAAATCAATAGCTTTGGACTTCATCGTCAAGCTTCCACCCTCCAAGGACCCGTTAACAGGAATAGAATATGACTCTATCCTCGTCATCACGGAAAGACTCACGAAATATGGGAAGTTTATACCATATCTAGAAGCTAGCGACGCCGAGGCGCTCGCATATACCTTCATTCGAGTCATATTAGCCGATCATGGGATGCCAGAAGAAATCATCTCAGATAGAGACAAGCTCTTTACTTCGAAATTCTGGAAATCATTGATGGCGCTACTGGGAACAAATCATAAGCTATCAACAGCTTTTAATCCCCAGACAGATGGCCAAACAGAAAGATTAAATCAGACCCTTGAACAGTACCTGCGAAGCTATGTCAATCATCAACAGGATAACTGGGTTCAGATCTTACCCATCGCACAGTTTGCATATAACAGCTCGATGACAGAAGCAACGAAAGTCTCACCGTTCTTTGCCAATTATGGCTACCAGCCAGAAGCATATAGGCAACCAAGACCGGATGAATCACGAGCTGAACAAGCCCTGATCGTGGTGGAACAACTGAAATCGTTCCACGAACAACTTGCGATGGACATCCAATTCTTAAATGAACAATCCGCCGCATACGCAAACAAGAAGCGCAGTATGGAACCTGCCTTCAAGGAGGGGGATAAAGTATACCTACTCCGGAAACATATCAAAACGAAACGACCAAGCACAAAGTTGGACTTCAAGAAATTGGGACCATTCAAAATATTGAACAAAGTCAGCTCAGTTAATTACAGACTGCAGCTACCCAGGAAGTCTAGACTACACCCGGTATTTTATGTCTCACTACTGGAACCAGCAAGAGGAAATACCCCAATTGCGACCGACACCGAACTCCAACCCGAGAATGAGATAATCGAATATGAGGTCGAAGCGATCCTAGACAGAAGGTTAGTAGGACGTCGAGAAGAGTCTTTGATAAAATGGGAAAATTACGAACCTACGGATAATTCGTGGGAACCAACAAGGAACATCAGCAAAGAACTGCTGGAGGAATATCGACGCCGCCATCCGCCAGCCATTGATCCCAAGATGCAGGGGAGTAGGCCAGTGGATCGGAGGAAGCGGGGGTCCCGGTCACAGACGAGGAGGCAGCGCTAACTGCCTGTTCCTCGGCCTCAACAGCGTCACGCTTCTCAGCAGCCACACGTTCGGCCTCCTCTGCCGCATCAAGCTTGTCGAGGGTTTTCAAACCTCGCCGGAGCATATCTTTACCACGGGTTCGGATGAGGTGTTTCTGCTTCCGCAGACGAAGTAACTTCGAAAGGGTTTCTTCCTCTTCGCGATCCAGGCGATCCTCCTCCCGTTCGAGCTTCACCCAGTCGGGATGCTCAGGACCCATACAGTCACACTTTTCTTTCAAGTTGCGACGAACGCACTCAGCACACCGCCGTGAATCATTTGGAGACGACACGCAAGTAACGTTTCGCCTCACGCAGTTCGAGCAAGAATCCATTTCGGGTAGTTCGTATCCGTGGTTCTTTATTCGACGGACAAGATCGTTGCGTTCCTGGAGTTTGCGGGCAGTGTCAGTAGGCATGTTGCATGTTGAAGGACTCGCTGAGGAGCAGCAGAGTCCCGGGGACATGGACGTACTTATAGGATTCGAGACGAATGCCCAGGGGAAGGGAGCGAGTGTTACGACGGAACAAGAAGGCTGGCCAACTACAGGACAGGAAGGAGGGAGGTCGCATGAGACCGGCCCTGGTACCTGGAGGGGCAGCGGGGAATAGTAGTTCCGAAAGTATCACGTGACGGACTCGCAGGATGATGAGAAGAGTCCTAAGAGTCCAGGACTCCGAGGACTCCGAGGACTCGAGTGAGTTCCCAGGAGTCCACTAGGCACGTGACGGACTCGCAGGATGATGAGAAGAATCCTAAGAGTCCAGGACTCCGAGGACTCAAGTGAGTTCCCAAGAGTCCACTAGGCACGACGCCACTATATAAGTAGATAGTATTTCCTTAGATAGGAGCTTCGTGCTCAACTCAATACAGTATTTGTTATATACTAGTAACGTGTTACTTGAAGCCTTTGTGTCTGATCCCCTGCCTCCTCTGATAAGTAAACCTTTACGCAAGAGAACCTCTGTGTCTTCTATCGTTTAGAAGTCAGCGTTACATTGACGTGCTGACTGGTACAGATTGTCAAGGGGCTCAAGTATCTCGCCTCATGCCGGCTCGAGCATGGCTCTCTTAGCTGCTCTAACATTCTCGTAGGCACAGAAGGAGATATAAAGATTGGTGAGCTAGCTGCCTGCCCCAAGTGCCCAATCTAACACAGCCATCAGCCGGTCAGGAATGCTGCAGGGAAATGACTCCTCCGGGTCGGGCAAGTTCGCGAGATATGGTGTCTCTAATGAATATTGCCACGAAGCTGATGCAGAAGAGCGCCTACGAGGATGGGGCCGGCGGTGCCCACGACATGGAGCGATGGCCAGCCGACTGCAAAGCTGTTGACTTCCTGGCCAAGATCCAGGTAGCCAGGTCATTTGACGAGCTATTAGATGTAAGCAAGTCCCACTACAAGTTGTGCTACCCCTAACTCTATCAGCATCCGCTTTTACAGCTTAGTTGGAAAAAAGAAGACCTCAAGTGGATGGTAGCTCTGGCGGCAGTCAGTTCTCACCGAGGCTTCCGGTACCATGAACAGGCGCGAGATGTTATGGAAGCATAACTCTAATACTCTCGTCTGATTTTGCTCTCCTTTCTAGTATGCGGTTTTGTCAGTGTTAGTTTTGTTTTTACAGCTGTATTTGAGTTGTTTGATACGTGAATAAAATCGGCGGATTGTGTAGCGATGGAATCACATGAGCTTGGCACGTCTTGGTAGATAAGTGACATTGATAATATATCAAATAACTGTTCCCAACTCTTTCTATAACCGCGTCTTTGCAATGTACGCCTGTGAATTCCATTCCTTGTACCTCTATCTTTGCAGACTCCCAGTATAACCTTGATGCAACCATATGACCTGTTCTACAGGACCTCTACAAACGGCTTTTGTATTCCTTGATTTGGTGAAAAGTAAGGCGTTTGTAATAAAAGTGGTGTAATGAAATAGAAGACATCTCTGATGGCATTGTTGCAGCAAATGTAAGAGTTTGGCGTATGATCAACTAACCAGCAGCTTCCGCAAGACTTGCGAGAGGCGCGCTGCATCAGATCTCCTGCGTTGATCTACGACTGGTATTATATTACGGGATAAAGCCGATCGAAGCGAAATGACATTAGTATTGCCAGACAGTAGAATTGTCTGGGACTGAAAAGTCATACTTGGGGTCCCTAGAAGCCATTACTTGATTGTGGTAGTGCTCAAACTCGCCTTCAAAGGTATTGTATCCTGCTGGAGAAGAGCCGGGAGTATCTGCTGCTGTGTCAAAGATACCAGGGATAGAATCTACCCTAGAGTCTACATCCATTCTTGGAGTGAGAGGCTCATCGACGTCCCGCAGTGATGATGATGAAGATGCGGGCCGCGATAGGTCCGGAGGCGGGGGTGCATCGACAGATACCTTTTCTGTCGACGGGCCTTCGCAGGGAGCGTTTGCTGCAGGCGGCTCGAGGGGTTTGAACATATCACTTAGCGACAAGCCTTTGAAACACTCCGACTCTAGCTCACTGCGGGACAGTTCTTCAAACCGTAATTTCTGTAATGGAAGTCTGCCTTTGTCAATGTAATATGAGAGATGGTCAGAAAGCCCTTGGATGTCTTGTTTCAAGCTCGGATGTCGCTCATCGATGCGGTCTAGAAGGAGGTCAAGGTTGGATTCTCTTAGTCGTCGAACACTATAGATAAAATGTTATCTCTAAGGTCCTCGCGCATTTGCACAAAGACACTTACTGATCTTCCTGCAAGGTGGGGTTGAGCAGCAGGAACACAGCTATACCGTAGCACTTTTGCATCTCCCCCCATAGCTTCTTTTTTTGTACCTCGTTTTGAAAATGCCTCTTTGCTTGGGCACGGGCAGTCTTGGCCTGTTTAGATGGAAGCTCACCATCCGGGATAATAGTCTCGGGAGAGCACACGTCCACGTACATTTCACTCGGATGCGGCAGGTTCCCCTTTTTCTTCCGCTTATCGAAAGTGTCCCTCTCATCAGCATACTGGCCATAAAAAAGCCCTGCAAAGGCTCGCTGAAGGCATTTCTCCCATCGTTCACCGTTCTTGTGGGCGCCAAGGCCATCCCACCACTTCTTCAGACCTAACTGGCAGTTCGGGCCCTGCTGCTGCGGCTCGTCCTGGTCCCTGTGATCAGCGTCTCCTCTGGTAGCAAAATAATCCCGCTGTAGTGCAAATCGCTCAAGGACAAAAATTATGTCGTGGAGGGTCACGGAGTCATCCATCAACTCGTTAGCCTTCGCTAGCAGCTCTTCTTGTACCTGCTCTACCTGATCTGAGGTAGACCTCTTCTTGAGCCTTTTAGGTTTTCGGTTAGGCGTAGAAGGGTCCGGCAGTCGTTTTTGACCACGAGTGTGGTGCGATTTGGCAGAGGGTTGGGAATCCGCGTTGGGGCTTAGAGGCGATGAAACGTCCGGAGTCCGGAGCGGCTCTTCAGCGTGGACCTCCTGGGCGACGTCGAGGTCTGTGTTGGTCGGGTGCTGGGCGACGCCGTCGCCTGTCTCCGCTGCGACAGTCTCGTGTAGACAACCATCATGCTCCAGCCCGCCCTCTTGAATGCGACTGGAGTTCACAACCGAGCCCTCGTTGGTGTCCGTGGAGCTAGGAGTCCGTGGGACAGAGACATCTGGCGATGACCTCTCTTGTGAGGCGACATGGGTATACGGTTCATCGGTCGACAGGGTGTCGTGCTCATACCCGTCCGTTGCGAGACTGTCCGATGCTATGGCCATCTCCCAGCAGATACCCATCCCCACATGTTCATCTTGTAGACGCCTCTCTGGAATGCTGGGTGATGGTGCTTGCAGAATCTGGTCGATCGAAATGGGCGTTGCGGCAGGAGTGGGCGGGGCTTCGACAACAGCGAGCTTTCCTAGAAACACCAACTGCGAGCGGGCAGAGGGTCGACGATCTAAGAATGGAGGAATGGCAGCTTGTCTTCGGTGTAGGTGTACAAAGATGTAGGACAAAACCTGTGTAGCATTTAGTACCACGACAACAGCAAAAGGGTCTTTTGAGAACCTTTTCATCTGGAAGATTTTCGAGCAAGTGTTCGAGGGCCTGCTCATCATGCATAGTTGTTAGTACATTACCTTCATGCTCTTTGTATAAGCCTTCACTCCCATTACTTGACGCCTGTGGGCTATTCAAGTCATCAGTGGGAGTGGTGAATGCCATGGCTGAGTAAAGGCATGGAGGAGAGAGGGTAGGCGGGCAGGCTCTCATCTTATCGATAGCACTAACGCTTGGCGTACTAATAGCCTCCCCACCCGGGTTTCTAGACGGGACCGGATCATCCACGTCTGTGCTCCATAGTTCTGACAGAGGCGCAGGTTGCGGAGATTGGACGCCTTATCGATATTGCATGGAGCTATACATTCTACTGGTCTGCCCAAATCATCTCGGATGAAATTTATACAGTAAGACTCTCTGGGCATGATGCAGAATTGGTTCATCGCAATTGAATACTATACCTCCCTCTTGCTACACTAACCTACCTACGCAGGACGCAGGGGAAGACGAAGTCAACAGGCCCTGGCTAGGCAAGATACAAGGGAGGACGAAGCCGCGTGGCCCTGTCGATCAGGGACCACGCTCTCCAGGGACGGTATATAAAGGCACAACATAGCTAGAAGTAAGCTGGTATAGAGCGTCTTCTCGTGCTTAGGCCTAAGCACACTATCGCACTAAACACGACCGTTTCATTCTATCGCCTTCCACAGCTTCCAACCTGTCGCCCATGGAACTACTGGCTCAGATGTCGGCCATTTATTTACCTCACCCCGTGCCCTCTCTCAACTCCACCAACTCATCATATTCACTCGTTTCTCGCGATCTCTTCGCACTTCCCATCATGATGGATGCTATTCAAATCTATGCTATCGCCGCAGTTGGCACCCTTTGTATCTTTGCTTTCGTCAACTTGCTTCCCCTCCTAATTCCACTCGTTACCCGTGTCTCCATCTTTGTCTCGAAGCATTTTAGGTATCCATACATACTTCATCGACACCGAATCCTTGGGCCGTGGACTCGGGCAGGCGTCGTTATACAGCTGGCCTACCTCGCACTCAACCTGTTCTGCATCTTCGCCGTACTCTCCTGGGACGGCCTTCAAGCCGCCAACTTCTCGGATGCTGGGCGGCGAGCGGGCGCTCTAGCAGAGGTCAACATGATCCCCCTCCTCGCAGGGCCTCATTTTGCTTTCCTCGCCGACTTGCTTGGGCTCTCTCTCAAGACCATCCGTGGCATTCACCGGTCGGCCGGGTGGATGACGGCCGCACTCGTTTTCCTCCATGCCATGGCCGCGGCGTCCGATGGGCCTCTCCCAATCGACGTTTCCCAGAATCTATTTGCAGTTATTGTACGTTTCATCCATCACTCCCCTCTTTGTCTGACCTAAATCTCGATAGGGAGCGTCACTACTTTGCCTGCTTCTCGTCCTCTTGTTTCCTCCCTTCCGCAAGCTCTCGTACGAGCTCTTCCTACGATCGCACCAAGCCCTCGCCTGGGGCTCCGTCTATGCCGTGTGGCGACACGTTCCTTCCGACAAGTCTTCCCCGCGCGCCTATATCTATATCACTATGGGGATATTCGCAGCAACATACCTCCTGCAAACTGGCGCTGTCATCGTCCGAAACGGGGTCTTTCGCCACCAGCTGTCACGCGCCACTATCACGCACGATGCAGGTGCGGTCAAGATGCAGCTACGTCTCTCCAAGCCTCTGACAATGGATGCTGGGCAGTATATAAACCTCTGGATTCCTTCTGTCAGCTTCTGGTCTTTCCTCCAAACTCACCCGTTCACGGTCATCTCGTGGGACGCAAAGGACCAGGACAGGCTTGATCTCCTGATCGAGCCTCGGAGAGGGCTCACGCGAGAGATGTTGTACCACGCGGAGAAAGGCTACACCATCAACCCTCTCGTCATGTTCAGTGGCCCTCACGGAGGCACCCTGTCGATGGGCGAGTACGAGAGCGTCCTAATGGTGGCGAGCGGCTTCGGCATCGCTGCCTTCGTACCACACCTGAAGAAGCTAATCTACGGCTATAACACTCGCGCGGTCCGAACTCGCCGCATTCATCTGGTGTGGCAGATAAAGAATGAAGGTGGGATTGCTGTATGCAATATGCAAATCCGTACTAAAGCTAACAGTGTAGCCGACGGTCTTATAGTTCAGGAACCACTTAACATTGCGCTGGAGGAGGATAAATTGGATGATGGCTGTGTACGTTCAGTGGTATATGACACCCTCTAAACTGCAGCTAATGATTACCCGGACTAGATCCTCTCGATTTCGGTGTATGTTGAAACTAAGAGCTCGCCTAAAAAGCCATTTGGCGAACGAGCTACTATGTATCCGGGGCCCGCTCCCTTGCCAGAGATCTTCCTCGCAGAGCTCTCAGGAAATAATATCAAGGTCCACGCAGCGGAAGTCGGTGCTGAAGGGCAGAAGTCTTTGGAACAAAGCAAGTCAACATCCAGTACGCTGCAGGGTGATGTTGAATCCGGGAGTAGGTGGACGGTGGCAGGAGATGGAAGGATGCTCGTTGCAGGTAAGTACTCTATGGTCCGCCATGTGGGTGGTGCTGACAGACGAAAGTGTCTGGGTCGGAGGTGATTCGAGACGATTTACGGGCGGTCGTGAGGAAGTATATTCGGACGGGGGTGAGATTCATAGAACTAGATTACCAGCCAAAGTAGATAGGTCACGCTTAGATAGCAGAGGTTTTGGTAGCGTATTCGTAGAGCCATAAAGAGTGCTCCTAGCTGGGTGGCACTCCAAAGCGTACCCTCGCGGGCGAGTGGAACGCCTAGGATTGTGGAGTCGCAGGGAGGATCCTCCTTGGGTGTACGAGCGCCCAGGAGGATCCTCCGAGGAGCGCCCACTGCCCAGGCGTATCCTCTTAGGATCCCTAGCACCCCAGGAGGATCCTCCTGGGAGGATCCTCCTGGGCGCTCATACATCCAAGGAGTATGCTCCGAGTTCGTTTTTTCTCCGTGGACAAAGCTCCTCGGAGACTCTCTCTCCTGAGAGAACACCCCCTGGAGGGCTCGACTCCTGTGAGCCCACCGCACCCGTGAGCTTTTTCTGTAGCGTATTGTTTCCTCACTAGGTCTTATGTGATGCCCGCTCATGCATAGAAGAGAGTCGGAAGGTGAAAGGGCAGATGTTGAGTGTTCCGGGTGACGCCTCCCTGTAATCTGCATTGCTAAGTAGGACTGTTCATTGTTGTCTATTTAAGCTTCCCAACTGCGAGTGGCTGTATCGATCTATCGATTGCCGATGCTGACGTGCGTGGAAATTATCTGGTAGACCAGCTCGCCAGTGGCTCCACTCTTCCCCCCAGCGCAGCTAGCCTTTGTACCGGGGCGGCGAGAAACACCCACTGAATGAACTCACCACCACTCACTTCAGAACGCTTTGGCTTCCCATTTTCTACTCGTTGCAGAGCCGTCAGTACACCACAGAAAGGGTATGGACCTCATTGTGTCTATTTCAAAACATATCTATCTACATCTATCATCTAAATTCTCACGTAACACTCATGCACGATCTATCCACCACCGGCCTCCCTCCCTCCTCACCCTGTGCACCTGCACATTCCCCTCCCCTCCATCCCCCTTCCAAAGCTGCCAGCGCCAAGAAGACACGCTGTTCGGCCCGTGTCTGATCAGGATTCGCGGCCGCGTATCCACGGATCCACCCAATAGACATAGTTTTGACGAGGCACTGTGGACAACTGGGTGGATGGTCTCTCATCGCCGATGGTCTCGGTGAACCCTTACCATTTATCCACTGACTTATCCTTGCAGTCGATCCAGTCTTTTGAGGCTCCATGGACTTCCTCCTTTGCTTTAAATCTTTCGACTTCACATCAACCTCAACCGCCTCACCCATTGAATAAGGCTTCAATCATTTGTCTATAGGCAGATCCATCTAGTTAACCCTCCTCCCAAATCTTCCCACTTTCGTTACGCAGAAGCGATGGACACGAAACTTCACCGACCCCGACGCAGCCGCCGGAGATCCGCTTCCCCGGAAAGTCCCACATGCGTTGTAAGAGACAGACATTACTACCTGCAGGAAGCGGAGGAGTTTGGTGCTGAAGAAGAGAGGCGATCCCGCCTAACCCAAGAGGAAAGGATGGCAGAGGACGGGCGAAAACTACAACGCCGGCTCGAGCAAGATGCCGCAATCACAATTCTCCTACAGCCGTCCCCGCCAATACATATGAGACGAGCACATTGCCGGGCAAACGAATGTTTCATCACAGATGCGTCGCCAAGAGGAGATAGCCTGATCATGGGTGATTACCGAATTGCCCTTGTGAGCTATAACCTCGAGTATTTCCACATATTGTGCCTAGAGAAGATGATTGATCTTCCATTGCTAGCGCCGTCTCGATTTAAGCTTGACACGGATAGTTATTGGTGGAATAGCGGTTGGCCTTGGGCATGGGGCCTGATGTTGCGGAAATGGTTCCAACATAGCGGGTGCGTCGACCTCGCCATAATTGCAGAATACATTGACGCGTACAACACATTTAAGGCAGAGGTCAAAGCTTTTAGTGTACCTCATACCGAATGGCAGCTAACTCACTTAAACCACTGTACTGCCGATAGAGGATCTTGCGGCTGTCCGCCCGAGCCGGAAGGGCCAGGATCATCGCCAACACTGAAGGACTACAAAACGGGAGAAACCAAGGCATGCTCCATCAGTGAGGTCCTTCAACATCCATATGTGGCAAGACTATCCACGAATATCGTTATCCAGGGTCCCCTCTCTCCTAGCTTCTTGGTGGTCCCAGAGCAGGAATCAAAGGAGGCTGAGCCTGATAACGACGATGGCTCGCACCTCCGGCTGAGGTCCGTAAGCCAGGGTAGCACTTCTACCTCTCGGGAACGACGACGAGCAAAGTAGTATAATGGACAGCGCCGGCAGGTGACGAGCAATGGGCCAACTTCCTATCAGCTCATACTTGTGACCTAGTCAGCCAGGGATCGTTTAACAAGTCCCTTGCCATCTTTCGCTTCTCCGGTTCCCACTGCAACATCGACTTAATAAAGCTGAGAAATAGCTCTTTATCCTTCCCGCTGAGATTCTCCTCCGCAGCCTCGAGACTACTAGTCGGCAAAAGCGGTAAGCGTTCTGGCTCATTCTCATCTGGTTCAAGCCATTTGCCATTTCCATCGAACCACTCCGCAGATCTCTCGCCCCGCTTGATGAGCTCCAGTGGTGGTGGTCCGAGAACGGAAATCAGTTCTGTAAGATGAGCACGAGTTGTGTAGCGGCCTCGTTTCGGATCTTGCCCACTAAAAAGATGTTTACCCTCAAAGATATCCCAGATCTACTGCCAAGTCAGTAAAAGAGTCTCAGGAACCTATTTTTGCATGGAAAGGGTCACTCACCATGGCGCCAACATTCCAGATATCAGCGCTATAACTCCATGGGAGATGAAGCATCACTTCTGGACACCTGTAAACATCGGGGTAGGCGTCATCATCATTGATTTTTGTCCCATATACCGCATTTCCAAAGTCGCAAAGCACTGGCTCCCCAATGGACTCTGGCATATCTAGAGTCCGGGAGATATATATCTCTCGATCCATTGCTTTCTTGCGCGGTGAGGGCTGAGCAATCTCGGCCTCCTCAAAAGCAGCAAGAATAGAGGTATCTTCGATAAGATGAAGAATGTTATCGGATTTGATGTCTAAATTGATCATGTCAGCAGAGATTCTACCATGAAAGCTAGGAGTAAAATAACCTGTGTGAATCAACTTCCGGTCCGTGTGAAGATAGTCTAGCGCTAGTAAAAGGCGTTGGAGGTTTAGTCGAAGCAGGTCTTCCGTGAGCCTATCCCGACCACTCCGTTCGAGGAGTGTCCTTATACTGTCCCAGAGTGGTTCATGTACTAGGCATGGATGTTTACCACCACGATTCATCAACTCAAATGAATCAAGAGCAGTGCGTACGTAGCGGTAGCCAACTCTTGATTTATTTCCCTGGCTAATGTGCTTATAAATGGCAATCTCATCGGTATCCTGGCCATCATTTGTAAATATTTTGACGGCAACGTGGCGATGAGCTCTTTTTTGAAATTAGCCTCATCTCATGTTAGGGGATAGCATCGCTGACTGTAAATCTCGTGCAAGCCAAACCGTTGACGAATTTCCAAAACCCAACTTTCCGACGATTTGATATCGCGAGGAAAGAACATCCCCAATCCGCGCTGGATAATATCGCTCAATTCCGAAATTTTCCTCCTCAACCTTTTCTGAGGGGTTGATAAATGGGATTTTCACATTTGAGTATTGCCGTGGTGGAGAGGGTGCCCGTCTGACGGCACTTTTGGCCCACCTTAGGAGTCCAGCCATAATTGAGATATGCTTGATGATCTAACGGATATTTCGATGTGGCTTTGATGGTTACAGGAAGTATTCAAGGAGCTGGAGGGTGAGAATGAATCGGAGAAAGGGACGAGGCTGGGTACACGTGCAACGGTTGGTCCGAGCGTGCAATGGATACGTCATCCCCTCGGCTGTTGACGCGCGCGCCTGAAGACTTATGAATAGATTTGCACGAACCACTCAGAGGAAGGATCATTTGGCCCACAGGTTTGTAAGAGTATGATGAAGTGGCGCCCCTGCAGTGGCTCATCTCCCAACCGCTAGTACTATGTAATAGGTAAACGTGCGACGTGATTGGTTGACACACTGAACGCTCACGCAAAATAGCGCAGCCAGGCGTCTATTGTGAGCCCCCTATAGGCCACCCTCAGCGGTTATGGTCACACCTCTTTGATGAAACCCAACGGATTGACAGATCATTGAAAAGTTGTTGTTCCCGTAGTTCGTGGCCCAATCATCCTATCCGGGGGAGACCTGAAATCTGGACACCTGCATCTGTCTCAATATCCACAGGCTAGGGTCCACGAAGCAGTACTTGGACCAACGAATCAATGCTTGTTGAATCTTCAGATATCGTATCTTGTCAAGAACGGGTTGCGTCTCCATGCCGGCCACACAGTCCATAGCCAAAACCAACTGTGATTTTAGTATCTGAATCCAGTATGATCCTTTAAATAACAACTCGTACCAGGCGGCTTTGTTGGCTACCCAGGCTGAACTACCAGGGCGAATTGTATATAAGAACGCAAAACCGCCTTGTGATTTCTTCTCCAGCTTAGTTATATCTCCTGCAACATCAATATATTCATCAGGCGCCGTTGTTACTTGTATTAAGACTTGCCAGCTTCGTTTCTGCCCTTCTGCGTTCAGACCTTATGCTCTTACTTTTGTATATCAACATTCTGATTAACCACATCATCGTCGTCACCATCATGCGTCCATTCAGCACTTCAGCAAGAGCTCTTTTCAAAAAACTTGGCTTTCCGGTTGAAAGCATCCCTGGACCCCACAGATCTGCCTATGAAAAGTTTTTTGCGCCTGGTGGAGGCGCTGAACAGGTATGAGTTTCTAATCCTATATCACAAAATGGTCTTCTGACACCGCCTAGAAATTTGGGAAAATTAAATCTGCACTAGTGCGGTCTCGTGGTGGTAACCCAGTCCACCAGTCTTCATATAATAAGGCGGACAAAGCTTGGATTATCAGCGTTTTCGTTGAAGGGGAGAAAGACAAGGCGGCCTGTCACATTTACGAGGATGGCACGGGGACTAGAAAGAAGGGTGACCGTCGAGAATAAGTAGCTGCATTTTGTGTTAGATTACTGTAGCATATATCTCTCAATACGGACATAAATATTACATACGACCATAGACTCAAGAGACCTGGGCATCCCGTCCGCTCTGCCATACATAAACTTGAGATCGGTGGATTAGTAGTTGGGTGGGTGACCACCAGCGAATACCCACTGTTGTATGTTTTTTTTTGTCTTTTATATACAACAGGTTTACTTTCTCCTTTGTGGCGTGGCAGGTTTGCCGTGTGTGCACTTTTTTCGCCGGGAGGTATGATTTTATAACCGACCTCAACCTTGAAAGAGTAGGGGTCAATCAGTACAATCTTTGAGCATTTTCGAAAAGCATTCATAGAAACACCAGTTCATGGCTATTATAGTCAATAACAAACTTCATACTCTGTAATATATCTATGCTTAGTCTCTGTCGCTAGAATTACCTAATAAATGTCGCGAGACAAACAAGTCATGCGATCCAGGTCTATTCGCATACGAGAACCAAACGCCAAATCAAAAACAGATGAAAACAAAAGCACCATGCCCCTTTTCACTTCTGACTCTATATCATGCTTTGACCGCCGTAGAATTTTGTGGCTAAACCACGACCCTGCCACGCCTAGTCTCAGCGGCTCAAGCACAGCTTTCATTATTCTCGCATTCTGATCTTGTGGACCAACTCCACGTGGCTTTTGAAATACTCCAACTTCTCGAGAACAAGTCCTTGCGACTTGCATGTTGGGTGAAAACACTCTATCTTAGCCTTCGGATCCCGTCCTTTAAGGTGAATGTTTTCAACGTGATTCATCATCGTCGCAGGGCGGCAAAATTCGCCCATCCTCTGTTCGTAGCTCTTCGATTCATCACCGATGCAGAATGGGCACTGCTTCTTACTGCATTCAAGGGGGAAAATGGGATCGAGGGGTCTGAGCTCAGGGGACTCTTCTTTGAAGATACTTGGTGGAGGAATGCCGACGCGAAGACGGTATCGTGAGGGAACCTCACGGCATTTGCAGATAGCCAGCATGAGTTCGGCGACCTAAATGCGACGCTTGACAGCATTCTGCGGTGTGATATCTGTGACGCGAGGACAGATAAGATCGACTAACTGCGTCCTCTGTGGGATCTGATGCTCAATAACTGGCTCGACGTACTCTTCCTCGTGCTGTCCATTGTTATGCCTCTCAATGTCTTCTGTTGGGCGGCGGCGGAAATAATCATCCCGGAATTCCTGAGAGATAATGTTTCGACGTTTAGTCTTAGCACTACCGATTGCAGCAGTAAGTCGCCGGACTTCTGCCTCGATGCTCGTCCCCTGAATTCTGTACGCCCCAGCTTTCAATTGCTCTCGCTCCTGCTCGAGTGCAGTGATAACAGGATCGGGGGGAAGCGCAGCTAGGTACTCGTCGGGGACGTGAACCGGTGCGCGAGGATCGCACATAAGACTCATATGCGTCAGCATGCGAAGGACGCCATCTACAGAGGGACGCCCGAGGCCAGCAGACTGAACATCAAACCGCACTTTCTCATTAGCGTAGTGTCCATTATACAGTGCAGAGTTTGCATTGTGTCGCATCACCTGGTCCCGAACAGCATCGGTAGCGGCATCTAGGTATTAAAAAGTCCATATTAGCAAGGGTTCGTCCCTTTCTCAAGCTCCCATAAACAACTTACGATCAACGACATTGGCTGTCCCACGTCGAAAGCAGTAGCTGGTTAGCTTCTCTTTGATGCCTGCTATCTTCCCAAGGCGGTTGAGGGGATCACGAAGCTGATTGTATGGAAGGGCCGCCTCGGAGTCATCTCGGCGGAATATTGGTGTCTTGAGCATTTCCTCCTTCCAGTGAAGCTCTGTGCAATTGACAGGGCCACGTATCTTGTGCTCGAAGACACGTTTAGGAGTAGTTAGGCTCGGCGCCTCGAATGCGTCATCTGCGAGTGCAAGGGATACGAAGTGCGTGATGGCACAGAAAATCGGGTCGTCGACCTTGGTAAAGAAAAATATCGTTCTGTGGATGTTGTTAGTTTGATGTTGAAGGTATCTAAAGCGGTCGGTCAACTCACGGTTTTGGGCGCTTATTGTGTCCTTTGTGATGAGACAGTTTGACCTCCATTGCCAGCACATCCCGCACGCTATTGTCGGGATCGTGTACGACCAGTAGGCGGACATCCTCATAGCAGAGCGCATCATAGAGTCTAGTGCCTCCTTCTATCCCGCCCATATCAACGTCACCTTCGAGATCATCGTCGTCGGAGCTGGGATTATCTCTTCGTTTCCTTTTTGCATCAACTAGCTCCGCGGGTTGACACCCTGTGCCAAAGAGAAGGAGTAGTATCAACGCATACTGAACCCGTTGTCGCTCCGTACGGTATACAGATTTGTCACGGGCCCAGTGGCAGTTGAGCAAAAGAAGGAGGTCGTCCACCCCTAAGACAGGCTTCGACTTGACAGTCCTATCCAACGGAAGCGTGTCAACGTACTGCAGATATTAGCAATTTAGATTACAGCAATGAATAGGAAGCAGCATACTTTTAGGACCTCCTTTCTATCATTAGTATCGATCAGACGGCCATTCTCTTTGTTGTATAGCATTCCAAATTGTGCTCTGTATTGTGTCATCGCACCCCTCTTGCTCACTCGGCCTTTATCGTACATATGCTGGGTGAATGATATCATGGTCCCTCTAGAGCAGTTCTTGATCACAGAACGCCAGTCCCCCAAATGCTCATCATGACAGAACCTAGGGGAGAGTTAGGAAAGGTAGGCGTTCTAATGTCTCAATTTGGGCGTATTGTTCCCTTACCTTTTAAACTTGCCTCTAATAACGTCAAGATTGCATTCAGTCTCAGAAGCATACTGATTTTTAATAACAATTGTTGGGTCATCATGCTTGGTTTTAAGGCTTTGGTAGTATCCAGGTGGGCGTTTGGTCTTTGGCTTTGGTTGACGACGTTCAACACGATTATGAAGGCGTCGAAGTAGTTGTGGATCAACGGGGGCATTCCTTCTGGGGGCCATGACGACGATGTGCTTCTTTCGCCGTGAGAAGGTGCGATCTTAGCCACAACGTCGTTGTGGGGAGTGGTAGGTACAGAGGAGTACAGTGTTGTGCTGCAAGACATGACGATTGTATGGGGGAGATGGGGGGTACACATATATATAGACGGTGGGAGGGGAGCTCGAAGTGCCAGGAGGGTGGCTGCCATGGTGGCAGAGGAGTTAGGGAGGGCCCCTTGATGTTGAGGGGCATCATCCATACAGAGGTATAATTGGGACGTTTGTGGCCAGAGGTATAAGAGACTAGCCGCGGGTTTTGGTTTTTGGATTTCAGGTACGGTGTCTTCGGTCCGATAATTCGCCGGTGGCCGATCGTAATTCTTAAGCACGTGATGAGATTTTGGGTGTTTGAGGATGCGTAAAGCAGCAACCAGCGCCAGCCGAAAACAGCAGCTCCGACACCACAACCTCGCATAAAGTTATAATATATTTACAAAACTTACTCTAATCTACAAACTGACCCTACCATTGTATGTCTACACCCTAAATACCCTGTAAATGATTCTCCCTACATACCTATTAAATAAACTACAAATCTTTAAACCCTTCTGAAAAAAACACAAAAAAATACCCCCCTCCCCTGCTGTGGAATTTTGTAATATCTCACCCAACTCTTTGCAACTCAACTAACCCTAACACCATTGCATTTGCTTGCTCAAACTACCCTATAATCGATTCTCCCTATACACTCGTATGTAAACTAACAAAACCCCTTCCTAATCCCTCTATTACCAACCTCTACTACCTACAATGAAATATGATAATCTTTGGCCTAATCTTACTCTGATTCACAAACCAACTTCGCTATTGCATTTCTATTGTACAACTACCCTATATAACATTATCGCTACACATGTGCTATGTAAACTGCAAATCTAACAATTATTCTCATATTATAAACCCCCTCTATTTCTATCAAATATACTAATATCTTTACCAAATCTACTCCAATCCACAAATCCACTTTGCCATTGCCTTTCTACACCAAATATACTCTATATCACATTATTGCTGCATATTTGCCACTTAAACTGCAAATCTTACTGCCCTTCCAATTTCACCCCTCACACCTACCTTACCCTTCCACTGCCTCATCCTCTCCCTCTTCTTACACCTCCTCTACCATTTACACCCTCTACCCCCTCCACCCTCTGCCCTCTGGGGGTGGCCAACGGCGGGCTTCGCCTGGATGGGTTTGGGTTATGGCTTGGAATTGGCTTCTCCTTTACCCTCTTCCTTTTATCACTCTAATCTTGCTATAACTCCTTCCTTATTCTGTGACCTCTACCTGCCTCCCTATTCTTTGACCTCCACCTCCTCTAACCCCAACACCTGCTGTGGGCTCCTTTCATGGCGGCTTCGCCTTTTGGCTTGGGCACTTCTACCTTCCCTATACCCTGATCTCTATCTTGGTCCATAACCTCCACCTCCCTCCCTATTCCACCACCTCCTGCTTCTAAACTATTCTTATATCATGACACCCCCCCTATTCCATGCAATATGATAATTTCTTTACCACTTTTACTCCTATCTATAAACTTACACACCATTCCATTTGTACACAAAAACTACCATAAACTCTTATCTCTACTTACTATATAAACTACAAATCTTCCAACTATTCTCATATCATGACCCCCCTATTTCATGAAATATGATAATTACTTTGCCAACTGTACTCTAATCTATACACAAACTTGCCTATTCTATTTCTACACAAAAACTACCTTATATAACATCATCGCTGTATACTTACTACATAAACTACACTATTCTTATATCATAAGAATAGTGGCGGCTTCCCCATTCAGCTTGGGCCCTCTCTACCTCCTAATTCCATCACCTCCTGCTCCTTCCTTGGCCTGTGACCTGTACCTCCCACCCTATTCCATCACCTCCTGCTTCTTACTTGGCCTGTAAACTCTACCTCCCTCCCTTGTATCAAAAATTGTAAGAGGCCATTCGATTCCTCTTGTAAATCTCGCTCAATAATAATACCATACGTGACCTTTCTCCTGTAGCTGCAAGACCTCGGCCACGTCTCATACCATGGCTTCCTGCCTAACAATTGCGGAATATCTCTCTAATTTGACATTGTATCCAAAATCCGAAGAGGCCATTTTCTTCACCTCGTAAATCAGCCCTATACACAATGTCGACCAACCCATTCCAGTCACAATTTATAATACATTAATTGAGTTTGGAATTTTTGACTTTTGACACATTTACTAGGAAGCTGGCCTCTATCGGGGCCTGTTTTGCATTTTCGACTTTTTTCCTACTTTTTTGCCGGGTAGCTAGCTCACTTGGGGTCGTGCCCCATTTTCGGCTTTTTTGGCCCTATGTACCTATGTACCCCTACCCAAACTTCAACATTGAATAACTTTTGTACCTAATGAGCTACAGACTTCATTTCATTTTTATTGAATTTGCGCGATTGAGCTCTACGTTTTTCATCATATAAACGAATTGATCTACGAAGTGGATCAGACGTTACAGTGCACCTTTGAATTTTCGACTTTTGAGACCTTTACTAGGTAGGCGGCCACCATCGCAGCCAGTTTTGAATTTTCGACTTTTTTTCAATTTTTGCCGGGTAGGTCGATTATAGTGTTGGTACCGTACCTTATGCGCTCCAGCCATGGTGTGGGTGGCATGGGGCGGTGTTGGTGTGGGTGGTGTGAGCGGTGTTAGTGTGGGCGGTGTTGGTGGTGTCGCATTTTCGCATTTTTGGCCCTATGTACCCTTACCCTACTAAAATCCAACCCCTAGAACTTCAACATTAAATAACTTCTGTACCTAAAGAGCTATTGACTTAGGACTGATTTTATAAGTTTCGCATGCCTGAGGAGCACATATATAGTCATATAATCTATTGTGTAAAATCGCTGTATAGTGCAGTACAATTGATTAAATCACATGTAGTTACAATATAGGTGTAATTGCATTTTCGCATTTTCGGCCCTATGTACCTATGTACCCTCATCCTACTAAAATCAAAACAAAATCCAACCCAAATCCAACCCCTACAACTTCAACATTGAATAACTTCTGTACCTGAGCAGATACCGACTTGGGAGTAATTTTATGTGTAAAATTGCTATATAGTGTGGTGTAATTGATTAAAAGCATAGATGTAGAGGGTGTAGCCTATGTACTAGGTGTAATGAATTGCATTTTCGCATTTTCGGCCCTATGTACCTATGTACCCTCACCCTACCAAAATCCAAACAAAAGCCAACCCAAATCCAACCCCTACAACTTCAACATTGAATAACTTCTGTACCTGAGGAGGTACCCACTTGGGAGTAATTTTATGAGTTTCGCATGCCTTAGGAACACATATATAGTCATATAAGCTATTGTGTAAAATCGCTATATAGTGTGGTGTAATTGATTAAAAGCATAGATGTAGAGGGTGTGGCCTATGTACTAGGTGTAATGAATTGCATTTTCGCATTTTCGGCCCTATGTACCTATGTACCCTTCGACTTAGGAGTGATTTTATGAGTTTCGCACGCCTTAGGAGCATATATATACAGTCGAGTCGCGATAAGTCGATACAATCCGTGCAGCTGAAATATATAGACTTATCAAGAATACCGAGTTATCAAATGCCAAGCTATTACATAATCCATTGATCCAATGTGCCCTGTGCCTGTAGTGATGCCCGCTTCGCTGTCAAAAACCGTTCAAAGCGCTCAAATGAGCGTAAATGTGCTGTATCAACCCCATCTTCAGACTCTGCATACCCAATTAGAACTTGGAGAGCTTGCTGAGCGGCCTGCATTGAGTACACTGGCTGTTCAGGTTGCTCCTCCTCTTCATCTTGAGTATCCTCTTGTATATATTGTGCTAGAACCTCTTGTAATATATCATCGTTGCTGCCATTGTATTCCCCCTCTTGTAGTGATTCATCTGCTGGATTTAAGAAGTTTGAGAGGTCCATAGCGTCGCGAATATGCCCAGCATTATTAACTTGACTGTATAGCGTATTAAGTGAAGGGAGCGGCTCTGTAGGCAGTTGTAATGGATGAGCAACAATAGTGCTTTTGCGAAAACAGTTGTAAATAGTTGTGTTTGTGACATCATGATACCAAGCACGGATTATCCAACGAAGTGCAAGGTGAAGAGACATGAAATCTAGAGGGTCATTGTTGTTCTCAAATGACACGAGCATGAATTCAAGCCATTGTCGACGGTAATGGGCTTTAAGAGAGGCAATAATGCCTTGTGTCATACTGACATTCGTTGCACTCAGTTTGCTATCAAACTCAAGAGCAAACTTAGAAATCTCCTCCTCAAACCTACAAGTCACCATACATATCTTGGCTTATCACACCAACAACAGAAGCAATACTACTCAATGATTGCTGCAAACTCTTCTACTACATCTGTTTATGCTACATACATCACGGCATATCATTTGAACACTCATTGAACAAGTTATTAAGAAAATCTCCTCCTTAAGGGGGTGGGCCAATACTACCACATGGCATATATCTACCAGCTAGAGGCCTAGGAACATGAACGATAGCTCTAGAAGCTTCTACAACCCTCTATGATTCATTACACGTCATCGCTCCTTAATTACCCACAAGATTGGTTAAGTTATGACATAATTTATCTATAGGTACTCTGACCTTGGACCTCCTTTTCACTTCCTATAGGCTAGGAACCCAAGAGATGGTTCTATGGGATTCTCTTATGTTCACTACATGATTAGCAAGCTAGTTGTGGGTCGCACTTGATTTCTAATACATTTACCAAGCCTGGTTAGTCATGGAAAGTCATGGAAAATGAGAGAACTACACTCCTTTGGCATAAATAGGATTGCCCTTTCCTTAAGAAAGGGCAAGCAGGCAATACAGTAAATCGACTAGCACATACTTCTACGTCTTTTCCAAGCTTCCAAGCATTGATCTTGTTATTCTCTGTTTTTGAAAAGTCAGTGAGGTGCTAACCTCTGACTTACCCCTGAGTTCTCAGACTCAACATTTGTTGCAACTTGTCTAAACCACTTCACCACATCATACACCTGATTGCTGCGTTGTGGAATAGTCTAAGCTACAACCCTTTGGCTCTGTTTCCTAAGACAGTGTGTTGTCTTAGTAAATTCATCCCTTCCTTGGGTGGCTAGATTCTCATATCTGGTGCACCCACCATTACACCTTGATCAAGTGGTTGGAATCGACTTGTAGAATTTGCAGGTAGCCATATGATTCTGATATTCGAAGGCGGAGGAGCAATTTCAATAGCTGCAGTATGTCCAGGGAAGTTGTCCATTGTAAGGAGCACAGATCTAGAACTCCCTATGTGGAGGTAAAACGCTTGTAGCCACTCGGTCATGATGTATTGATTCATCCATGCCTTCTTATTCCATCTCCACTCTCCTCCCATTGTTGAAATATTAACGTTTCGTAAAGCGCGTGGCGCTTTTGCTTTGCCAATAAACCAAGGGCGGAATCGATCTGATCCTGTAGCATTTGTACAGACTACTACAGTAATGCGTGTCTTATCCTTCTTCAATCCAGGCCTTACTTGTGATGAGAGGCCCCTCGATGGTGTCATCCTCCAGTAGAGCCCTGTTTCATCCATGTTGTAGATGTCCTCCTCTTTAAAGTCTCCTGCTAGTGTTTGGATAGCCTTCACCTCGTCTTCTGTAGTTGAACAAACTGAACCTGCTTCGCCGTGACTAATGTGGCTTTTGATCTGATACCGCTTCTTGAAATTGTCAAGCCACCCAATACTAAAGTTTGGTATAGGCTTCTCCTTGTATTGTGGTAACAACTGCCAGATCTGTTTTGCCTTCTCTTGTAGAATATCCCCAGTTGTTATCCCTCCGCTTTCGTCAATACGCTTCTGCCAGTCGAAGAGAGCAGCCTCAAGCTCTGGCCAAGCAGCAGCTTTTCGCCGTTGGGTAGTGGGAGAGATGCTTGAAGTCGGGCTATCAAGGCTAGCAAATCGAGAGCTCAAGGAATCAGAGACTGTTGACTGGGTAAGGCGGTGATTATATGTTTGTAAGAACCACTCAATACAGGCTTTCTGGGTAGGCCGAGGATTTTGTTGAGAGTACCAGCTTCTGAGCGCGCGACGCTGCTCAGTCTTCATTGTATGCAGTCGAGTTGGAGGCATTATTTCGATCTATAAGTCGATATGAGGAGGATTGAGGTCGATATCGAGCGAATCGCGAATCGTATGAGGAATTAATTCGTGCAGAAGAAAAGCATCGACTTATCGCGATTATCGACTTATCGCGAATCGACTTATCGCGACTCGACTGTAGTCATATAACCTATTGTGTAAAGTCGCTACATAGCGCGGTGTAATTGATTAAAGGCATAGATAGCCCTGCTGCGTGGAAATCCACATCGCAGAAACCACATCGTCAGGTCGTCCCCACCTTTCGCCCGATTCCTGACCAACCACCTCACCGCAAATCCACATCGCCGCGGCGATGTGGATTGGCATAAGTGGTAGGGCCCCACACACTGTGGTTTTGTATGGAGGTGGCTCTTAAAACTCATAACTCTACACGTAGTCCCCTTAGACACGCGTACACAGCTTCTTTAGATGCTCTAGCTCGCCCGCTACATTTTATACTAAGGAACTTAAGCTGTATCTCTTACGCCCATGGAGTTTTGGGTTGGTGCCATTTCTGCCGAGACGCCTCATTTTTGTATGGGAAAATGGCCGACCCCACCAAAACCTAGCCCAACTTCAAACGCCTGTAACTTTACGAGCTAGTGAGCAATGCAATCGGTTGTCGGCTTATATGATACGTAAGTCTCCTGTGCACAGCTTCGCCCATATAAGCGTAGCTGGAGGAGCGACGGCCGTGGAGTTTTGAGTTGGTGCCATTCGTAGCATCTTTTGTGTGGTTCTGCGCACAGACCAATTTTCTGGCACCAACTTGATGCCACGCCCGCGGCCGCGACATAATAAGGGGTAGCTCTCCGCCAAGGTTGCGTAGCTCAAATGCAGCTCTTAATTTGATGTTACAGTCTCAACACGCAAATATATCTCACGACTTACACGCACTGCTGAAACTTTAAGAACACAAAACACATTGTTATTAAAGGAGCTACAAGATACCCAAAGTGCTCTATCTACACGTAGAGCTAACAGCGAGGCAAGAGAGTAGAGCGTTTAAAGGAGTTATTGTGATGAGCACTCAAGAAACCCAGTCGGCAGTTTTACAGATTGAAAATGAGACACGCAACAAAAGGGAAAAGGTCGGGCGCAACGGGTTGAACAAGACAGTACTATTGAGGAAATTGAGAAGACCTAGTTATAGATGATTTGCCTAACTCGGAATTAGGTACGCTGAGCTGTATTATATAGAAAATTGATTTGAAGTTGCAAGACTTGGGTTTTGGTGTTCATTACGCCACCATGACCATTACGCCACCTCGAACGTTAAGTCACATCGTAAATAGTAAACAAAAGGCAACGTGAAGTATGTTGTATTAGATATCATACTTGCTACTCTTATGCAAAACTCTTTTAACAGCGCTCTCTCACGCTCGCGCGCGCGCTGAATAGAAGCGCGCGCGCCATTAATCCAAAAGGTATACAAAACAAACTGCGCCCGTGGCTATCTATCTACAATGCGCGCTTCTCGGCAGCCCTCAGCGCACCCTCATCCGACGCCGCCGACGAGGCCACGATCTTATTCGGTTGTGTGGTCGCGTTGAAGTGGTCATGGATGTGCTGGCTGTAATCGTCCTCGGTATCGAAGACGCCGCCGTTCACCTCAGCCTGGCGACGAGCCTCCTGCTTCTCGCTCCAGTCCTCGCGCATGTCCTCAATCTTGGAGGCGTAGTCGAGCTCCGGGTCGTAGTACTTGCCGGCGCCACGGAGACGCTCCCAGAGCGAGAGATGCTTAGGGTGGACGGCGACACCGTGGTACTCGGACTCGCGTCCGCTGCGGATGTACTTCCAGCGGCGCTCCTGCTCCTTGAGGTCGAGGCCGGTGGTGTCTGGGAGGAAGAGAAGGGTGAGGAGCATGCCGGCCAGACCGAACCATGGCACGACGTAGAACTTCGTTTGGGTGTCAATGTAGTTGTACAGTACGGAGGCGAGGAGGGCACCGAGCTTGCCCACAGCGGCGGAGAGACCGTGGGCGGTCGCGCGGACGGGCGTGGGGAAGACCTCGGCGGCGATGAGGAAGGTGACCGAGTTGGGACCGAACTGGTTGAAGAACGACGACAGGAAGTACATGGCCTGGAAGGCGGTGACACCCTGGATCGAGGTGTAGTACTTGTAGTGGAAGGCGGGAACGACGAACAGGATGAAGTCCATGAGGAAGCCCAGCTGCATCATGTTCTTGCGGCCGAACAGCTTGTTGTCGATGAGGAAGCAGGCGCAGTAGTATCCTGCGAGCGAGACGACGACGTTGACCAAGTTCCATGTCCAGCCGGTCATGATGGTGGATCCATGAGGGGAGAGGACGCTGATGAACTGCGATTGGAACAGCTTGTTACCGTAGAAGAAGACGTCGTTGCAGAACCACGTTCCGGTGGTGGCGAGCAGGCGGCCACCAAAGTAGGTGAAGGTCAGGCCGAGCGACTTGGTGTCGTAGCCGGTCACGTTGATCTTCTTCTTGGCCATGTTGAGCTGCTTGCTGGCAAGCGGCATCTTGTAGGTACGGTAGTAGACGAGCCACAACGTGCCGAGAGCGGGGAGGGCGAAGGAGACGCGGAAGGTCCACTGCGCCATGGCGACCGAGTACGGCGGGTTGCCGCTGTGGTTGAAGATGAGCATGAGGAGGATGAGGACGACCTGGTTCCAGAATTGACCCCAGCCCTGCATGAGGAAGGCCATGGTGACCTTGCGACCACGGTGGAGACGATCCTCCTTGGTCGACACCCTGCCGGCTCCGGTGGCGTTCTCCATGGCGGCGGTGGCCGTCATCGGGTACTCACCACCAACACCGATACCGTAGAAGAAGAGCGAGATGGCGTAGCAGATGACCCAGCCCTGGAGATCGAGACCCCACGAGGCCGTGAGCATGAGCAGACCGCCAAACATGATCAGCGCATCCTGGATGAGACCCCATCTGCGACCGAACCTGGTGTGTGTTAGCGGTTGCGCGGTACAACAATCAAAGCGAAGCACTCACCAATCACCCAGCACACCAACGAGAATCTGACCCACGATGATACCCAGAATCTCCATGTACGTGACAGCGGCGACCCAGTTCTCACTGCAGACCTGGTACTTCTTCCAGCACGAACCCCAGGCCGCCTGGAACAGCGGGGTCAGGTTGCCAATGGAGAAGAGCACGTAACTAGGATCCGTCAGCACCAAGCGCGCAGTCAATGGAAAGAATCGCAACATACCCCTCGAGACCCAGACCGGCACCTGGCAGCACCGCGTTGCGGAAGTACCAGCCAATTGGGCTTAACGGATCGGCCTTCATCATCGTGCCAATCGTACCGAGCTCCTTCTTGGCCTCGGCCGCATCGACGGCGGTGACAAAGGCCGCGCGCTTCATCCACGGCAGATCCGCCCAGTACACACCGTCGGAGTTGTAGCTGTCATCCGGCTTGATGAGGTAGTTGAAGATGGCCTTCTCGTTGGCGGTATTGCGGTCGTATGGGAGCGTGGCGTGGTCGGTGCCGGTGTCTGGGCCATGGGGGACCGGGATGGTACCCGCGGCCGGGTCATGGACGCGGGGGTGGTAGAGGCCGTCGTCGTTAGACATGGTGGTCTGTCTAGCTCTGCGCTGCGCTGAGAAGTGCGGCGAGATGAGAGATGGCCGGGGCGTGTGATGGGGAGGGAGGGAGAAGAAGAGAGGACGACGGTGATACAGCGATGGGGGGGAGGGATTATTATATGATGATGATGGCAAGAGACGGGATGGGATGGGATGGGGCCCTGGAGCGAGTGGGGGGTAGGAGGTGAGGTGCACGACTGTCGCTCCCGGCGTATGAGTGGCGGGATGGAGAGGATTATTAGTGGCATAGTGGACATATGTGGCAAGTATTTCCCATGCGAAGGGTTTCTTGTTCTTTTTCGGGGTCGCCTTTTGAAACGGGTAGAGCGCGTGTAGGATGCGAGTAGTGCGAGTAGTGCGAGTAGTGCGAGTAGTAAGAGTAGTAAGAGTAGTGCGAGTAGTAAGAGTAAAGAGTAGTGCGAGTAGTAAGAGTAGTGCGAGTAGTAAGAGTAAAGAGTAGTGCGAGTAGTAGTACGGAGTAGTAAGAGTGTTTTTGGCGGGTAGCACCAGTAGGAAATGGTCACCCAGTGATTTGAGTGGTAGTTGAGTGGGTTGCTCTTGCTTGTTCCAGGGTACAGCGAGAGTAGAGATTCTGCTCCGGCGGCGATGGCGATGGCGATGAACATTTTACTAGCGCGGCCAGAGTACCGTTGTAGCCGCCCACCTTTCCCGCCCCAGGGTTCCTCCTTCGTCTCTCCCCATAATAATCCCCCATCTCTCTCCATGCGCACGCGAGCAAATCACAGCGCCGGAAGGAGAACATGCTTCTCCATCACCGCTGATCATTGGCTCCTCCTGCATATAGCCACATGGCGAGATGTCAACTAACCGACCTCTGTTCTCCCCTATCAATCCCCATCCAACTGGCATCGCTCTGCTCTCGTAGAACGCCTCCGGATACAACGGCGCACCTGAGAGATGTCAAGACTCCAACCCCTGTGTGCTCAGCTTCGGATATGCCAGCCGCGGCCAAGAGATTCCAGAAGTGGCGGCCGTGTCCGGAGTCTTGGGAGTCTTGGAAGTCTTGGAAGTCTTGGAAGTCTTGCCGTTGCCCACCAGACGGGCATCAAAATCATGCTGAGCTGCTTGATTGGAGCTTAAGGGCTGGGTTCAAGGGGGGGATAAACAACGGTTCAGACCAACTTGGGATTTTATGCGCGCCTGCCTTTTTGAAGACCCGACGTTGCGTCGACGATTTCTCAGCCAATCATGTAAGAACGTGGTGCTGCTCCTGTTGCTAACTGGGTGGGTCTTTCCCCACCATTCCACACTGTCTGCCCCGCGAATATGTTAACGGCGAAGCCACGAGATCTGGATCAACACTTTCATCTTTCATCATCCATCCATTCATCATCCATCCATCATCCATCATCCATCATCCATCATCCATCATCCATCATCCATTATCCATCATCCATCATCTCCTCTCACACACGACCGAATAATGCTTGTTCCCTTTCTCCCCTTCCAACACGATCGAGATCTTCTCCACAAATCAACTCGAATCAAATCAAATGGTCATATATGCTATCCTTGGGTCAGCCAGGGCCCGACTCGGAAATCTTCCCCTTAGGGCGACGCCTCCTGCATCCTATCTCACGCGTCACCATCGCTCTCCTCTCATCCACCCAGCCCACGTGCGCGCTTCCGTCGTTGCCGTTGCACGCGTCTCACTTCATAGGATTCACGACAGACATGTCTCAACGCCCCATTCGAGTCCAAATATCATGATTTCCTCAATCCCTCTTCCTCTCTCGCCGTCATATCCGCAGCCTCAAGCCTTCCCGCCCCGTCCCGGCCTCATCTACGTAGCACACCCGCTTGTATCACCAACCAGCATCTACAAACCACGCCACAAAGCTTGCTAGCACTTGCGGAGCCTGGGAGACCCTCCCATCCATCCCACTGATGAAAACAAGCCTCACTACAATATCCTCCCATCTCTTGGTTTTGCTTGTTTCAATGTCGTCGCTGACCCGCCAAGCCCGTCATCCCACCACCACCTTCACCACGTTCCCAAGCCGAGCCCCTAATTGGCCTGTCTAGGCGCCAAAGGCTTCTTTCCAGCGTATACAGATGGGCCCAGTATTACCCTTCATGGCCCGCTATGCACGATAGGGGAGATCACCTGCAGCTCCGCTACGCTACTGTACTGTCAGACAAATAGCTCCCTTTTTTGGCTTCCAGATGTCTCAAAGGCTTCTTTTGGGGGTTTACTTTTGATTTATACCCTGTCTCAACAGGAAAATTCAGACGACTCGCTCAGCCCGCGTGTAATGTCGGTTCCGCGAGAAGAGGTTCCTGTTGGAGTGCCGGCGATATCGCTGGTGTCTTATACAAAAATAACCATACGGGTAGCTCACCACTTCACCATGTCTTTACCCTCCCCAAACCGAATGACCCCTTTCTTCCTCCTCTCTTTCAGCCACCGATCAATCCACACCTTCATCTTAGCGCGGCTCGCGGCACTCCCAACGTTCACCGTCGGCACGATTTTCTCTATGCGTAGCGCGCAGCAGAACATCGTTAGCTCCCGAAAGCTGCTGTGCTCGGAGTACGGCACGCCAAAACAGGCAGCCTCGTGCGTGCTGCCACGTTGTGGATTCAGGTCTGCCATCGTATACCTGCTGCGCCAGTTCTCACCTGTGAGCACGGCAGCCACGGACGGACTATCAACGAGCCGCGAGTTTGGCGGGCGGTAGTTCCACCCGCTCGGCCGGAAGCCCACGATCCGTGAGAAATGCGGCTTCAATCCATTTAGGTAATCTTGCAGGGTCTCCGCGCGGATCTCCATCAGCGACTGCATGTGTATCTGTGCCTCGTGGGGATTGGTCGTCATCCGCGACGACAGCTCAGGGTCCTCGAGCGCAGCGCAGGTCTTTTGTTTACTCGGCGGCGCCCAGATCTTGCAGTCTAGCGCGCGTGCAATACCCAGGCAAATGTTCTCTTTCCCAATACTATATGTTCCGCAGAGGATGAGAAGCCTACCTCGGGGCTTCTTCGGATCCGCTTTGGTCGCTGAGTCCTTGGACTTCACCTCAGCGTCCACAAACCTCCCCATGCTTGCTCCAGTACGGTCTTTCCCAGCTCTTTCCCACGCATTATCCCCCTTATCCTTGGACATACTGACGCAAACATCTGCGCAAGACTGGACAACCTCGTCTTGTGACGGAAATGAATATCGTGGGTTGAGATACGTAGTGTCGAGATAGCAAACATCAATCTTTTGCTGTCTCGTCTTCCCAGTAATCGCGTCAACGATATCAGGCATTAGTTGAGGATGTTCCACGTGGGCAGGACATGCTCGAAAATCACCGCAGTGGAGTATCCTCTGGACCTTTGGGTTAGGGCCTTTCCTTACCACTTTCTCAAAGAGAAATAATGAGCTCCCTGGGCAGTGATTGGCGGGGATCATCGTAACGCTGACCCCATGTGTATTCGGCACTTCGACTTTATCCTCAAAGTTCAGGGTAATAACCCATTTGGGATCAACTCGTAGCTGCTGCTTGACCAGATTGCCAGTAACTTTGCTGCAGTAGATCGGTCCGTGACACCACGAAGCTGTCAGGCCAATATAGTGGTCGCTGTGAAAGTGACTGAGAAAGTATGCATTGCACCCTTGAACAGCCCCATATCGAAAGGCATCAACACAAATGTAGAAGCCAGGCATAATCTTGTAAAATGGACAGACGCGCTTGTATGCTAGTTTGCCTTTCGCTGAAATCTCGGCAGCAGCTGCATTTTCCCAGGCGGCATCCTCTGCTTTTGAAGACATCAGTTTGGAGAAGGCTGACGATGTCGACGGGTCGGGAATGTCCAGCTGAAACGGATTTGCCTGTCCGGATCTTGCAATAGATGCCTTTGAAAAGCGGTCGCTTCCATATTCTACCTTTATCCTCGATACTGTAGATTCTTTGGTCGGAGTTAGTCCATCTAAACAAGCATTGACATGTCTCGTAATTTCATCTGTAGTATTTCCCCCAAGGTCCGAATCGCAAATCGGGCATTTAGAGATTGAGGACTCGTCAGAAATTCTGAAACTATCACTCAGGAAGGGGCCGTTTATTTCGCTTGCGTCTGCGCTTTCGACCTTTTCCTGCTCTTCCATCCACTTCCTCTCCATGAACTCCTCGCCATAAGCAAACTCGTCTTCGATATCGGGGTACTCGTCCATATCTTCAAACGCACCATAATCGCCGTAGCTCGTCTCTTCTGGCTTGAGGGGGGGTATTGGTTCTCCATCTGCTGAATGATCGATGGGGACGTCTGGAACATCTACGAGAAGGTCACTGTGGTCACCTGCTTTCGGCTTTGCCATTCTGCTCATATCCAGCAGCCCTTCGGTGCTAAGAGCAATCTCGGCCTTAACTGCTGCATCCTGGATTGTTTGACTTCGCACGTCAAGCCCCACAAGAGCTTCGCCATCTTCCGAGTCACTGTCATCGAGGAATGCACCTATCCGCCTTGGCTGAGGGTTGTCTGCGTCTGGTGGCGGGGGAGTGCACGCCTCTAGTATTTCCGCCCTCGCGGCTGTGCCATGTAACAATGCTTCTGGACCTTCTATAGCCAGCGGCTTGCCCCCAGAGGGAACCCCTGTGCCCGTACTTCTTGGCAGTGTATCTGCATGGCCGTCGCTGATTCTCCTCCTCTTTGTTAAGTGACCCGACTCGTTGTATCGCTCTGTGCCATCTGGGGCACTGTATAAATCATCGTAGGCAGCACCACCAAGGTCATCTGGTGTTGGTGGCCGTATGGCTAATGCCTTCTTTGTCGGGGAAACCTCATATCTGCCTCCAGACAAAAAGAGGCCTCCATCGTCGTCCGCCTCAACCTTTTTGAAGAAGTTCAATATGCTTCCGTTCGCTTTTCCTGGGGCCTTTGCACTAAGTTCTTTATTTGCCCCTTGGGAGCTGACCTTTCGCACATTGGTCTTCGTGTTTGGTCGAGGAGTCAAGGGTTTGGTGGAGGATGAGGGCCCAGCCATGCTGTCGTTGAGCTGGTCCGATCGGTACTTCGCCCATCCAGTGTTGGAGGCCTGCCTGTGGAGGGTTTTAAAGAACTATCACTTGTTGCGTCCTCTCGTGGTCTGCGGAACATAGCATTGCGCGGCGGGGAGTCGCCATGAGCCAGTGTTGACAGGGTTGTCAGGGTGGTTGCCACCTCTGACGATGAGGGGATTTCGCGACATCGCTTTTACGCGTGGTCCCGTGACCACTTTATTATATACAGATATATTTATCACCGGGAAATGGAAATTGGTTCAATGGCGTTTGCATGATGATTCATATATCAGAGCTTCAAAGGAAGCCGTGGCCCGTGAAACTCTGGGTATCCGTTTGCATCCCAGGCGAAATTCAAGCAGCCCGGCCAGGGACGCCTAACTCCATACCCTGTTCTAATGGCCACATTGCCTCACTATCACAGTTTTATCATATCCCAGAGGGTCCTCCTGTGATCCCGCATACAAGCTTGCCACAAGTTATGCGGCTGTTGCCACATGGCCCTTGGATTCCTATGCCAAAAATCCTCGCCCATGACCTCATTTATGCTGCTTTCGCTTTCGATGCTTGTTGGGCTGCTTCTGTATGACAGGCTTGTTATTAATCGCTCTCAAGGGCTATGGGGCCAGGTTCAATATACCTCTTCTTGTTGCATCCTCAAGTAGCTGGGTATCCACAACGGCACCTGGTAGGTGGACATATCTCACCACACTTCCTCTGATGAATACGTTCTTGACGGACGACTGTCAGCCACGTTAGAGTATGTCCTCTGGGTTAAATTGCAAGCCCATCGCTGCTGTGTGCGCTTCCCAATCGACTGCGCTTGGTTTTTGCCAACTTGTGGGTGGATAGTCGGGTGCGGTCTCCATGCTTACAAGATGCGGGTATTTGATTTCCTCCACCACACTGATATCGTCGAGCTTGATGTTGAGGTATTGATCGACTGACTTCAGCGTTCCGCGGATCTGGATGTCGTTCTTGAGCTCAACCGTTACTTCTTGGTCGACAAGAGTCTTGAAGAAACTAAGCAACTATTAGTACATGTCCTACAAATGTTGATGTAATATATATCGCATATAGGCGCGATAGACTCACCTGAAGAACAGCATTTTGATGGCTATGGAAGGTTGTTGTGAGAGCTGGAAGCTGGAACACACCGACAGCATGCACGGTCACCAAGACCCGCCATAGTGGTGGGGAATAATTGTTGCCTTGAATTCTAGGCACAACATTTTGGTGTTCACACCTTCATGACGAAAGCAAACTAAATTTACAGAGCGGCTAAATCTCAGTGGCAGACGACGTAGAGATTTCTATAGTCCCTAGAATAATACTTATAGAGGCGGGAATAGCTTATACTATCCGGGTTTTGGATTGTGGTTTTTTATTATATTCTGCGAGAAATTAAAATTATCCAACACATTCTCAAAATGAAAAACGAAGGCGTTCACTAATAAATTTATTACGTGTCACCATAAACTCAGTATTTCTATAAACTAGAGCTTCAAAACGTACTTTTTGAAGGAAGATAGTGTTGGAAGATCAATAATCTGGCTGTAAACGTAGAGACTTCAACACATGTTACCTTGGCTCAATACCTTCATCGCATTCTATTGGTATATCTACACTACGATTTAAAATGAGCAAGTACTTGACCTAGTCTCCTGAGAGCCTTTGGGCGATGATCGATAGGATCTTCTGCCTGTTTGATCTCCTCAATTTCCTCTCTGGCCTTTCTCACCAACGGCAACAGCCCACCCCAAACGTCGTCAGCGTACCGCGTCAAAACACCTTCCCACTGCTCAATCCATAGACTGCTTGCTTCCTCTTGTGGTAGAACTTGCCCAAAATGAGAGTAGGATTCTTGAGCATACTCATCCGGCAGCCAAGTGCTCATATCGTTAGATCTGAACGTATCGGGCTGTAGATTATGTGGGTGGGAGACGTCTGTACCAGTGTGCATATCCGAGGAAGGAAATAGTTCCTTGACAAGGGCCTGGATTTTTGCGGTCTGATCGTCGGTCAACCTCCATTCCTCTATCTCATCTTCGATGTTCTGAGGTGCAAAATAGTCAACCTCTTGCCGCCTTTCGGATAGTATGTCCAACACTGCCTCTCCATCATGACTTTCTTGTTCTTCGACGCTGCGAAATTGGTATGGTTCTGAATTCTGACCTGAAACTTGCGCCGTTGGTGCCCTGCCAAAAGACCTGGTATCCTCTTCGTCCAACACTGGCCTTGTCCCATCTTCAGTAGACGGTCCAAAAGCATCTATTCCGTCGAGAAAGGACGAGAACTCCGCCTCAGCAGATGCAGTGTGTTGTTCTTGGTGTGAACTCCGGAAAGCCTGTGGGCCTGGCTGCTGGGCACCGTGCGAGGGCTGTTGTCGGGAGGTCTGAGAGCTCTCGGCCCAAACAGAGCCATGGCCAGAACTTGACGGCTGGCCCTGTCCCTTCCCCGAAGTGGCTAATGCTGCTGCGGCGGAATCGTTGATTACATTGCTATCCGTTGCACCAAATGCACTTCGTGCAAGGCCAATCGCGGAGGCTGCAACCCTATCGAGGACAGAATCGGATGAAGTTGTAGTTGTTTCGTTAGAAGTCACCTCGTCTTCCCCCCCCCCCCAGATTTTACGGGCCCCTTACCCTTCCCATTGCGCATAATGTCAGTTCGAGTCCCACGCGCTGGGAAGTTGGTCGTTGTTATAGTCGCGGGTCTCAGGATCCGACAAGGGCCCCGCGCTTAAGGGTCGGCTAAACTGGAGATCCCCCCACCAACATCACGTGATTGACTCGAGATCAGCGGCATACTCGAATCACTTGAAGAGCCTCGAGGATCAGGGAGATACAGGAGTATTGAGGGCGATATGGATCTATTTCATGATGGTATATATGGCCCCTGCCTGAGCGCAGCTTTGTGACTCGAGGATAGAGGGTACCAATAAATGCTGCAGTTGCGAGACGGAGTTTACCTTAGTCAAGCAGGTTTGCAGCAAAATATGGACAATTTGTAGCTTCCTTGCAACTGAAGAAAAGGTATTACAGTATTTGCGAAAGCGAACACTTTATAAAAAACCTCAAATGTAGTATCTGGTAATAATAGGTATCGTAGTAATTTTGTAATGCTAGATGTACACTTTCCTTGGCTTGGCTATTTCCCCAATGCAGCTGCCTCTTGTCGACCTTTGTAATACAGCTGTTGAGTACCTATGTATTGGCGCGGAGCTGATTGCCGCCAGACCTTGGTCACTCGCCAAAACCATCATAACCCCACAATCTCAACTATACTCACCAGACTTTGACGCGCCTAACTATTTATCGCCAGTAGGTCGATTGCTTTGAGTAGATTCTACAGATTCTGTGAGTTTTCACCGTTCGGCGACCCCGATCCTCGTGTCTTGCGGGGTTTGAATCAAAGCCTTCCCTGCCCTTCCTGCTCACTCTATTCCTCTCAGCACGCCACCGCTGCATTGTACGCGCCTGGTGCACGATGTCGTATTCGCACAGCTACTGACTGCCTCCTAGAAGACTGTGCGCCATCTAGAAATTTTCTTCTCCTCGAACAACCACCATCCCATCACAAATTATCCACGCCACGCGCGAATTTGAGGAAGGTTATCCTCAAAAGGGCGGGCTGGAAACATGGTAGAAGGAGAAGCGAACTCTCCAACTTGGAAGTTCACACAGTCAGTATTGCCTTGGAGATAAAACAGCGACGGCGAGAAAGACACGCCACTCCACGATCTTGACCCCTTGGTTTGGCGACGAGCCAAAGGACCCTGCTAAAATTCACACAGATGCTTCGGAGATAAGGGAGATGTAGAGGATATCACAGAAGGTTAGTAACACCAAGGAGCTGTACAAATGCTGTTACCGCAGACTGGGGATGAGAGCTGCAACTTTTGTCAACTTATCGGATGCGGACTGGGGCTAATATGTTCGTTCGCAGCCGATATCATCTCAACAGTCGAGTTCGATCACACAGGAAACTACCTTGCCACTGGAGATAAGGGAGGCCGAGTGGTATTATTTGAGAGAAACGAGACAGTATGCAACCCAGCAATCGTGTTCATGCAGCATACGCTGATTCCCACAGAAAAAAACATGCGAATACAAGTTTCACACCGAATTCCAATCGCACGAACCCGAATTTGACTACCTAAAGTCCCTCGAGATCGAAGAAAAGATCAACAAAATCAAGTGGTGCAAACGCCAAAATGCATCTCACTATCTCCTTTCGACAAACGACAAGACCATCAAATTGTGGAAGGTGTTTGAGAAGTCATTGAAGGTCGTTGCGGAAAACAACCTTTCGCATGACTTAACCCCTGGCACAGCTGCTGGTGGAGGAGGCGCTCCTCGATCTCGCAACAACGTCCACTTCAACAGCGTAAACGATCTCAAGCTACCTAGACTCACACATCATGATACCGTCGTTGCGGCCGTACCACGCCGAACATATGCCAATGCACATGCATATCATATCAACAGCATCTCAGTGAACAGCGATGGAGAGACGTTTATCAGCAGTGACGACCTGCGTGTAAACCTGTGGAACCTGAACATTCAGGACCAGAGCTTTAACATCGTTGATATTAAGCCAGCGAATATGGAGGAGCTGACAGAGGTCATAACCGCAGCAGAATTCCATCCCCAGAGCTGTAACTGGTTCATGTATGCGAGCTCGAAAGGCACAATCAAACTGGCAGACATGCGCGAGAGTGCTCTCTGCGACCAGCACGCCAAGCGTAAGTCAACTCCCGCCATACCATTGATTTTTGTCTAACATTATTTTAGAATTCGAACAGGAGGAAGATCCCTCTGCCCGCTCCTTCTTCTCCGAGATCATCTCCTCCATCTCGGATGTCCGATTCTCACACGATGGAAGATACATCCTGTCTCGCGACTACCTGACTGTGAAGATTTGGGATGTCAATATGGAGCGCCAACCGATCAAGACCATCCCCATCCATGAACACCTCCGACCCAGGCTTTGTGATACATACGAGAACGACAGCATTTTCGACAAGTTTGAGGTTGTCTTCTCTGGAGATGCCAAGAACGTGATGACTGGCAGTTACAACAACAACTTCATGATTTACCCCTCAGACCCAGATAAGGAGGTGGAGGTGGTCCTACAGGCCGATAAGTCGGCTTTCAAGGCAAAAAAGGTTGGCGTACCAACGCCAATCAACACGTCAACTAGCCCTGGCGCAAATGGAAAGAAGGGTGGCTCAAGAGCTGGCAGCCCAGCGGCTGGAGCAACCGGGGCAGGCCAGAGGATGAGGAAGGAGACCGACGCGGACCAAATTGATTTCAACAAGAAGATCCTCCACATGAGTTGGCATCCATTTGAGGACAGCATTGCTATCGCTGCAACAAATAATGTAAGTTCCCCTCGAGTTTTGCTTTACCTCGTATAGAAGCAGCTGCTGACGAGTCTCGATAGCTTTTTGTCTTCTCGGCATTGTAGACAGCAGGAGAATGAAGGAGGCTTTTGTGGCCAGGTTGCGTTGACGTCAGATTGCGACGTGATGAGACGATTCCCAATCTTCATATCTTTTAAGGTCAGATTAAGAGCCGGCTGACGCATACATTGATGAGAGATGAGCATATGAGAGAACTATAGACCAGCCTCTCATGACATAGGTGAGCGATTACTAGGTGAATGATCCATTGATAATGAAAGTTATGTGGGCAATCCAGTGTAGTTTCATTTTCCAGCGGCACAGCACTACTATGCTACCTGGGGGAGGGGGCAAAAGGGGGTCGTCGTTATGGCATTGAAGCTCACGGCCCAGATCTTTTACGCAAATTCATTAGTCACTCCAGAGAATGCAGAGAAGTACTATGGTCTTTTAGTAGATATTTCAGTGATTTAGTATTTGTGATTATCTGTGTCTCCTATGCCTCCCAAGTCTCCTAGCTTCCATGGTTGTAAATGCCGTAGGGTCAAAAGGAGGGGTTTTCACGTTGCACCCTGGCCAAATCTACGCACGCCCAATAAAAGTTTATGATTGCTCATCGTTTAACTTCCCTCCCTGTTCCCGTACCCGTACCTACCTACTCTACCGTAACTGCCTGGCTCGACAATTATCCAGTACCTGGCCTTTATACCTGACAGGGCAGACCACCAAACCCACTTCCGACAACCAATTTGGACTCATTTGGGCAAATACACTCTCGTTATTTATTCCGGCAGATCCGGTACTTTCCTGCTGCAACTACGGAGTATAATTAACAAGGACAGGTAAAATATAGCCATGAGATCGTCGCTCCAGTCTCGTGACTCCACTTTGCTTTCCTTCGTTGTCACCAGCTCTTAAAGTCGTGGCATCGGCACTTGCCAACTCAAGGTGAGACATAACCCCTCCTGTCCTGAATAGCACCGCAGCGTGCGTCCATCTTCCATCTCCCTCTCTGCCTCTCTGCCCCTCTGTCTCTCTTGCATGCTATATCATTTAGCGTCTAGAGCTACACCAGGCCCGCTCTGATCTTGCTTGGCGGAGCCGAGGCGCCACTCCACCGCGTTCAAATCTCTTTTGGTGCTTGCGACACGATGGCCAGGAGACCCAGAACTGACAGTGGCAGCGCGCCTTCCAGCTCTATGACCGGCCAGGTCACGCCTCGACGACGTGCGACTTTACGAGACCTCCAATCGTCGACAGTGGACGGGATCGAACCCCGTCCAAAGGAAATCAACGCTGCGCCTTCGCTCGAAAAGGCACAAATGTATGGGATAGACAATGAGAGGCCTACGTCTTCCAAAATCATGGCATTGATTGGACGGATATTCATCGAGACTATACCGCAATGGCTGGCTGTTGGGGTTATGCTCGGGCTCATCTTTGGCGGCTGCTGTTCAAATGTGAGTGCGAAGCGTTGCCGGATTGGAATATGGAGACCGGAGAACTCATGAACAAACAGGTTTTCGCGTTGGAAGCAATTATCAAGTAAGTGGTGTGCCCGAACGAAACGAGGACCCATCAAGCTAACCTTTGGCAGACCGAATCCAGATAGTGGTATGTCGAAGCGCATCAGATGGCCCCTTCATTGCTGATATCCATAGGCACCCTACTCACCTTTGTCCAATTTATCTTCATCGCATCGATCGGCTACACCTCGCAGTTCGATATCAAACGTCCGCCCCTTTTTCTCAAGCCGAACCGCGTCCCGATCAAGCGCTGGCTTGTAAACATTGCCCTATTCTTCACAATTAATGTTCTGAACAATCATGCATTCAGCTACAACATATCTGTGCCCATACATATCATATTACGCTCTGGAGGGAGCATAACTACAATTGGCGTAGGATATCTGTTTGGAAAGCGCTTTTCCCGCATACAAATTGTGTCCGTACTACTTCTCACTGTTGGTGTTATCATTGCCGCATGGTCAGATGTTCAATCCAAGGTATGCCAGTGTCTTCAATACTTCGTATCACAGTACTGACCTTTATAGGAGAAGACCACAGACACGAAGCAAGGGCTGCCACCATTCAGCGTCGGCCTCATTATTCTGTTCATCGCACAAGTCCTATCGGCCATTATGGGGCTCTACACCGAAGAAACATACCGAGAGTATGGCCCCCAGTGGAAAGAAAACCTCTTTTACTCACACTTCATCTCACTACCACTATTCATTCCGTTCTTCCCATCGATGATGAGGCAGTTTCTACGATTGGCCGCCTCCGAGCCATTGACCATGCCTTGGTCCGAACCAGCTGCCCTCGGGGGGTTATCGCAAGGCTTCAAAGCTGGCGTATCCGGGATTTACATTCCAAGTCAGCTTGCATACCTGGTCGTCAACGTGCTGACCCAGTACGCTTGCATCCGTGGAGTCAATCTTCTTGCCTCTGCATCCTCTGCGTTGACAGTGACCATCGTCCTAAACGTGCGGAAGCTAGTCAGTTTGCTGCTCAGCATTTGGTTGTTTGGCAATAGATTGTCATTCGGGACGCTCATTGGAGCCACGATTGTTTTCAGTGCGGGGGGAATGTACTCATTAGACAAAGGGCCAAGGGGAAGGCTTAGACCTGTCACTGCCAGTGTCAGCATCAATGGCAAGGCGGGATAAAGGGAGAGCATAACGTGAATTTAGACTTGATTTAGAATTTGAACGATTTCAGAAATGGACATCTACCCACCGTTTTTGAAACATTTGATGCAAGGCTGACCAATTGGCGCTAAAAGTTGGGGTAACTCCTCACGCAGCCTTGCCAAGAGCTTCAACAGCGACGGAGACACAGTTCCATCTCTTATCAGCGACGTGCCAAAGCAAACTCTACGCGTTTAAGACTTCACATCACACAGCATTTAGACCTTGCATAACTTATATTACCATTGCCCACTTTGCTTGTTGTACTGTGCGACTGCTAACGCCTTGCTGACCCGGGTGGAAAGCCCCTACGGCCGACAGGTGAGAAGCCTCGAGTCATACAAGACCCGACCTCGCGAGCAATGTCTGGTGAGTTCAACATCAACTACCTGGCCAATGGAGATAGCACCATTCGAAACATTATAACTGATTGTTTCCAGGCACCGCATTTGAAAGAAACCATCCATCTGGGCTGAGCTCTCCACACCTCGAACCAACCCAGCTATCTGTTGACGACAATTCCGACGCTGACGATAACCCCTACCACGACCAAGACCTAGACGAGGGCTCAAACAGTACCCTTGCAGAGAATAAGACAAACAATGCACTCACTGGAGCGGCTTTAGACGAAGAGGCAGGCGAAGACGCTACTCAGGACGGCCTACTTCCCAGGGACTTCCAGAGAAGAACAACCTTTTACGATTACGCTGCTGAGAAGCAAATAAGCTTTACGGATGCCAAACTCTTCTATCAGAGAAGCCAAGCTGAGGCCCAGCGCAGTGGCGAAGGCGGATGGGGTTCCCAGCAATCGCTACCCCCCGACAGTCCACGGTTGAGTGAGAGGAAGTATTCAAACATTTCCGGAACGGAAGCTGAGGACCCACAAAGAAGTGGCAGCTTGAGATCTATTGGAAGCGGCTTGAACATGGCTCAAAGGTGAGTAAGGCTATATCTATGTTTATTCGTGTGTCTAACTTGGATTAGCCATGGCAAGTTCAAATCCGCCCAGCCTACCGGCCTTGTCAACCCAGAGAAACTCCCCGAAAGCAACACCATACAAGAACCAATCTTTGGTGGCAATGATGGCGTGGGGCGGCCAGGAGGTTTTCAGCGTCAGGAAGTTCGGCAGCCAGAGAACGCGAATCTACCAGCTGAGCTGCATGCAGCAGTAACGCCGGAAGGGCTACACGGTGCGGGAGCTGGTATTGGTGTTGGCAATGGTGCTGGGGGATTTGCAAATACAGAAGCCCATGTCACTTCCGAGTTGAGCGCAATATACTCGAATATTCGAAAAGTATTAGACTTTCGTCACAAATATATGCGCCTGTCGCTACAAGGCCTAGAAGATAATCCAAAAGATGACCCTAGTTGGGATATCTATCCCCCTCACCCTCAGCCGGCATGGGAGGAGGAGAAACGAAGGGCGACAATGGCGAATGGCGGCGATAGCCTCTCCAACAGCACGGTGCTGCCCACAAAGACCAACGAGAAAGCCCAGGCAGGCGCTGCCAGCGCCTCGCAACCCCCTAATCCATCAAAACCCACGCGTAAGCCAGGACAAGATATTGGCGAGGATTTCGACATGGAAGACCTCCTGCCTCTTCCAGAGGCCGGCGAGATGACATTTCGCCTGGATGATAACGGCGTATACCAAGTTTACCAGCATTCTGATGCTGGCGCATTAGAAGAGCCAGTGATCAACATCCCAACTATTCGTGAATTCTACATGGACCTGGAACAGATCTTGGAGATTTCTTCCGATGGCCCCTGCAAAAGCTTTGCGTTCAGGCGCCTCCAATACCTTGAAGGAAAGTTTAACCTCTATGTGCTTCTGAACGAGTACCAAGAGATGGCCGACAGCAAAAGCGTGCCGCATCGAGACTTCTACAATGTGAGGAAAGTGGATACCCATATTCATCATTCAGCTTGCATGAACCAAAAGCATCTGCTTCGATTTATTAAGAGCAAGATGAAGAAGTGCCCAAACGAGGTTGTTATGTTCAGAGATGGAAAGCATCTCACACTGAGCGAGGTTTTTGAGAGTATCAACTTGACAGCATATGATTTGAGTATCGATACGCTGGATATGCACGCCCACACAGACTCTTTCCACCGATTTGACAAGTTCAATCTCAAGTACAATCCCATTGGGGAGTCCCGTCTGAGAACCATCTTTCTCAAGACTGACAACTTCATCAAGGGGCGATACCTTGCAGAGATAACAAAGGAAGTTATTACCGATCTCGAGTCCAGCAAATACCAGATGGTGGAATGGCGCATTAGCATTTATGGCCGAGACCCTGATGAGTGGGATAAATTGGCAGCTTGGGTTGTCGATAACAAGCTCTTCTCGCCAAATGTGCGCTGGCTCGTACAAGTCCCGCGACTGTACGATGTGTACAAGGCGTCGGGCCTAATGGATAACTTTGAGCAAGTCGTCATCAACGTCTTCAGGCCCCTGTTCGAGGTTACCAAGGACCCATCGAGCCACCCGAACCTGCACGTCTTCCTGCAAAGAGTCATCGGCTTCGATAGTGTCGACGACGAGAGCAAAGTCGAGCGTAGACTCTTCCGCAAGTTCCCCGTTCCTAAAGTCTGGGATACGAAACAGAACCCGCCGTATAGCTACTGGATCTATTACATGTTTGCCAACATCGCATCTCTAAACGTCATGCGTAAGCAACGAGGCTTCAATACCTTCGTCCTTCGTCCTCACTGTGGTGAGGCTGGCGATTCGGACCATCTCGCTGCTGCAGTCCTCACCTGCCACAGTATCAGCCATGGTCTTCTACTCCGCAAGGTTCCTTTCTTGCAATACATTTTCTACCTCGAGCAGATCGGTGTTGCCATGTCCCCGCTCAGCAACAATGCTCTCTTCCTCGCGTACGAACGCAATCCCTTCCTTTCCTACTTCAAGCGCGGCCTGAACGTATCCCTATCTACCGATGATCCGCTCCAGTTCGCCTTCACCAAAGAGGCGTTGATCGAGGAATACTCCGTAGCCGCGCAAATCTACAAGCTTAACGCTGTGGACATGTGTGAGCTTGCGCGCAACTCCGTCCAACAGAGTGGCTACGAGGCGTCTGTCAAGCAGCATTGGCTGGGTGAGAACTTCAACAAGCCCGGTGTTGCGGGGAACACGATGGCGAAGACGAATATCCCCAATATCCGCCAGGGCTTCCGTCACGAGACGATACTACAGGAAATGGCCATGTAAGTTCCCCACGCTGCTGTAAGATGGGAAACTAACACAAGTAGGATCGACCGCTACACGTCTGCATCGACGCCAATACCCTCGGCAGATACAAGCTCGTACGAAACTCTTGTTGGGCTGCAATCGCCCACCTCCTCTATGAAAACGAATCTCTCCACAACTACCATCCCCCATGATCAGTCACCTTTCCCTGCCCAGGCAGCCCGCTTCCCCCATGCTCGTCCTACAGCTAGCATGTCCTCGACAACACTCCCTCCTGTGCCAACGAATGTCTCGACTGATAGTCTGCAGCCCATCAACTCTGGGCTACAGGACCCGCACTTGTCGGGACATGAGCCTAAGTTTTTCCCAGGGGTGCTGAGTCGTTCGCAGAGGAGGGATGGTGGCGAAGGGAAATGATGGGAGACCCGGGACCGAGAGGAGTGAGAAGGGGTGGGGAGGATCTGTTCAAGGAGAGAGAGAGGATGAAGCTGGTTCAGAGGAGTGGGCTGAAATGTGATGAGATCTTGGGCTTTACGAAAGGGGCATACAATGTTGAACAGCTAGAACGGAATCATGTTTCACTTCACGAGGTAGCGATGGCTAGTATGAGGTATTTAAAATCGCCATGCAATTCAATTAGACGTCTCGACATAAAGAAATGATAAATGAAGGTTTATGCTCAGACCAATTCGCCGTCCGAACCAACGAATCGCGCGCAATAACTGAAACTCCACAGCCTCCCCCCTCCTTTTACAAGTTCCCCCGCGTCAAATACATATACAACCCAAGGCGGCCCACCACTTCCCAGCCAGCCCTCACATAACCAGATCCGCAGCTCCATCATCGCTCGCCCACTCGATCATAGTGTATTATTTAGCAGCATCCCTCGGCGCACTCGGCGCAGTCAGCGCACGCCTCGCATCCCTCCTCACACACGCAGCAACAGCAGAGCGCGGCGAACAGACCCGCCAAGCAACCCTTTCCTGCGCCGCCACCGCTGCTTTTATTGGGGGGGGGACCCTGCTGGTATTGTTGTTGGGGTGGGCCTTGCATCTGTGCGCGGGCGGTTAGTTTGCGCGCCATTTCAGTATTTTAAAAGATAGAGAATGCTCACTGGAGGTGGCTGTTGGTAGTAGCCGCCGCCCTGTGGCGGGCCATAGGATTGTTGGGGGTATTGAGGTTGGCCGTATGGCTGTTGGTGATTAGGGGCACCACCGCCATAATAGTTTTGGTTGGACATGTTTGCGGGAAGAGGAAGTTTGAAGCTGTATTGGTCAAGTTGGATATTCGAAGAAAGGTTTGTAGATGTTGATGACGACGAGTGTCAATGCGTGGGATCGAGAAAGCGACGATTAAGGTGATGGATCGCGGAGATGCAGATGTTGAAAGGTCTTGGTAGATATTGAAGGGTCTTGGCAGAGACAATAAGAGGGCGGGAGAACGGCAGGATATTTAAATGGCTGGGCAGGAGGGAAGGATGGGAAGGGTGTGGGTGGTATAGGTGGGTTGGGTGTTTTAGGGGATGTTTTAGGGGGTTAGGGGTGGGAAGGGGTGGGAAGGTGGGAAGGTGGAGAACGGCAGGGGGTTTATTGGGTCGGCGTACAAATGGGTGTGGAGGCATATGGAAGTTACACGTCCACACTTATCGCCCCTGCGGCGACTCGGTGGATTTTTAACCATTTAAGAGGTTATATTCTCTCTCTTCAGCTTCTTCCAGTCGCAACTTGCTGCGGCGCAGTATGGATGGCTGTGCCCTCAAAACGCACTTGAGACGGCTTGCTGCCAGGGTTGTGTTGTATGCGGCTTTATTCCCTCCTCGGCAATCTGGGAGTGCCCTCAGCAGCCCTGGCACAGTCGAGATCGTCTTTATATACATGTGCTCACTCATATTAGCATACGCTTGTCTGTCGCGACTCTATCAACTGTGGAATGCTGCGCAGGGTACAACGGCGGCGCTCACAATTGCGGAGAACTATCGAATTATCGAATTATCGAATTATCGAATTATCGAATTATCGAATTATCGAATTATCAAACTATCCTGCGAAGGAATGACGCATGGGGGGTGGGGGTCACACTCCAAGGGTATCTGATCGCAGGGTTTGATATCATAAATCATTGCATACTGCATGCAATCGCAGTCTATCTGCATTGTAAAAGTCGAGCTGCTAGGCCTGTCTCACCGCGAAGCCGCCAGTCACGACCGACGAGTTGATACTCCTCAACCAAATAACCGTGAAGTTGTGTCTACTATCATCCCATACTCCCTATTCAGGCCTTGACGACCGCGTACTCCTTCAAGAAATCCGGATCGTTCGCCATCTCCTCCTTGATCTGTATCACGCCATTAGCCCTCTCCAAAGTAACTCCAAGCAGAAGTCGCATCTCAGGTAAACTTACAATATCCAGCCCACCAACCAGCTCTCCCCCAACCCACAGTTGTGGGAACGTCGGCCAGTCCGCAAACTCCTTCAAGCCCTGCCTCACCTCATCATCCGCCAGGATATTGAAGAACCCATATCGCACCGAGTTCTCCCTCAGCAGCGCAACCAACTGCCGGCTGAACCCGCACTGTGGCGCGCTCGGCGTCCCCTTCATGAACAACATCACGGGCGCTGCCTTCACCAGCTCCCCCAGCCGCTTATTCAGGTCCTCCTTCCCCTCTCCCGTCACAACAGCCGTCCCATTCGCATCCGCATCCTTTTCTTCGCCTGTAACACCCGCCGCATCAGCCCGTGGTGCCGGCCCCGTAGTGTCGCGATAAGTAACATCTTGCTTTGGTGGTATCACGACATCCTCAGCTTTGCCCTCTCCACCTGCAGCGTGTCGCTCAATCGCTGCACGCACCTTCCCCGCATCGCTCCCCGAAACAGTCTCAAGTGTTGCCCCTGCGCGTGCGAGCACCAGGAACGGCACAGCGGTCACGTCGTATGCGTCGCTCACGTCTGGGAGTTCCTCGGCGTTGACGGAGAGCCAGAGGGTGCGTGGTGGGGTGGTGGCGGGGTAGGATGCTGCGAGGGTCGCGAGCACAGTGTTCATCTGCGCGCATGGTGCGGCCCAGGGGGTGTGGAAGGAGAGGACGAGGAGGGTCGTTGGGTCGAGGGTCGTGACGTGCGTGTTGAACTCATCTTCAGAGGTGACTTCGAGGATTTTCGACATGGTGGGCTGTGAGGTGGTGTTTTGGTGGTGGGGTAAATTCGCGCGCTCAACCGACGAGCTCTGCTTGATGCGACGAGGGCTTGCGTATGCTGTTTCGGATATTTGATTCGATTCTCTAGATGCGAAGAAGGGACTCGTCGTAGAGTGGATGCTGTTCTGCCCTCGGAGATGTTTATCTGATCGTGGTCGCTGATTAATATTCAACGGCCGCCACCAACAGAAATTATTACGGGACTTCGGCGAACGTCATGGTCACACTAAAATCACGACTAACCACGTGATCAATCAAATCCAGAGACTCTCATTGAACAGATTTGAGAACAAAAGGAATGAAAGGCAGGTCTGAATTCACACTTGAATTACTAAAGGATTAACGAGATAGCAACAGATCATATATACTGGTATTTGTTTATGTACGAAGGATTCTAAATCCAAGAAATATTTACAATCAAATGTTAAGTCCAAAAGCAATCGCTACCCTTACAACGCCCTTTTTCATATCAACAGAAATCGCGTTCATCCGTGAGCGAACTCAGTTGGTGTATACCTTGACAGAGTTGACAAGCCAATACGACTCTTCATACGCCGCTGGGTTCTGGCTCACAAAGTCCTCGCAGGTTGCGGCCCGAGCACCGCACTGATCTCCCCAAACACCGCCGGCCCAGTCTCCACAGAACGTCGTGTCGAATACGATATAGTGATTCTTGAAGTGGGAGCCAATGTTGCAGCTGTCACCGACAAAGTTGGTCAGGGGGGTGCCCCAGGTGCTCGGATCGGGGTTGCCAGAATTGATGTCGTCCGGGATGGCATAGCGTGGGAAGAAATATACTGCGATAACCTCATTTGTCCACTCCATCGCATAAACTCCACCACCGATGGTGTTGAAGCCGGTCCCGTAGTTTGATGGATCGATGGTTGCCTGACCACATCCCCTAGTGCCACTGCAGTCGGCGTTACTGAGGACAGAGCCTAGCTGGGAGTTAGGGTTGTTCATGGAACAGCTTCCCGATGTGTGAAGGGTAACGTCGTTGGTCAATTGAGTGTTGACGCCCTCCATGATATCTATTTCACCAGCATTGGGCCAGTCTGGACCGTATGTCCAGAAGGCAGGCCAGGATCCACACTCTGCGCCAGGCATGTGCTTGATATCGGCAATGAAGAGTCCCAGGGTGTATTGCTTTTGGGACTCGACGCGAACAGATGCGCGTCCATTCGGCGGGCTCATCGTGGTGTGGTCAACTCCCATGTAGACGCCGTCCTGAGAGAGCCCGGCGAGCCCAGCATTGTTTGCAGTCTCAGCATTGGCATAGTCAACGAAGCCGTTGGTTGGGTCAGGGCCATCGTGGAAATTAAACCCGTCGAAGAAGTTGGTGGAGTCGTAGACATCTTGGAGTGTGTAGGCAGCGCTTGCAGTACCTACAAGCCAGGCAATGGCTGCAGCTGGAATGAGAGTTTGTAAGGAAGGCATCGTGGTGATGATTGAAACACTTGGGTTTTGCTCCGTAAGATAGGGTTGGTAGAGTGTTCTTATATATACACTCCGAATAATTGAGTTGAACTGAGAATCAGGAGATGTAGGGACTGTTCGTGAATCCTCGAGGTGATACAAAGGACCGATTGTTCTTGGTGGCTTCACCCAAGTCTGAACCTCTGTAAGGATTGTCGTACTATTGTTGCAGCATCAATAGCATGGCTTTATAATGGGTTCAAGGCACCGAATAGTTTCTTATCCGGAATTCCGCACCACAGACCTTTGATGGGCGTGTGAATGATAATGAAAAGATGAATGAAAGAACAATGCGCGCAGGGAGCAGTAGTATTATTAGGGAAGGTATGCCGTTTCGAACATGGGAGAACGGCGGTATAAGGGACTCTGAGATGAAATAGCCCCCCGGGCTGGCTGGGACGCACCTTAGACATGGTCTAGAGATGCGCCTGAGCGTCTAATAAGAAGTAGCACGGACTTGGGGCGCGAGAAGGGGAAAGTGATTCAGCGCAAAGTCTATTGCCAACACCCATGGGGGGCATGAGGTAGCGCAGGGTCACCATGGATATATTGAGCTTCCACCTCCTTTAATCGCGCTGTGGCACGAGTATGGCCGCTCGGCCAGTCATGACCCGTCGCTGTTTCTCTAGTGGAGGGCAGCATGAAAGGTTGTCGACGATTCCCCCAGGTCTGTTTCAGTTGTGGCGGCGATGGACCAATGAACCAGGATCAGCCACCTTTGACGTTTAGCAAGCGAGGGCGTCAATGATAACACCAACGTGATCCGAGACATAACGGGAGAGCTACCCACGACGAAGACGACAGTGTGTCGGAAGTTTGGACGAACAAACGCCAAACAAAGCGATATATGTTTTGATTTTTTTGACAAAGGAAGTTTCAACGGTGCGGGACGTGGGATCCGGGTCCAGACCAGTCTCAGTCCCAGTCCCAACGCAGTCAAAGGCCGTCCCATCGGACATATTTTTCATCGCAACTCCATCGCAACTTCGCGACATGACAAGTAGGCGCCGAACTTGTGTGCAAGACTGGAGTACGGATGGGATGGACCAAGTGGTCTGCCGGACAGCAGTGATCCTGCCTCCCTGCATGATCGAAGCGCGATAGAAGGACCGATGGACCCTCATGGTTTGATGTAAATAGCTAGACATCCCTTAGCCGTCCTTTAGAGTTGACAAGTTCAGTAAGATGGAGTCCGGGGCAAATGGCTGATCAGGCCCAAGTCGGTACCTGTCTGCGTTGGGTCCGCTCCCCTCAATTTAGATCCTTTGAATCCTTTAAAATCGTCTAAATCGAATAAAAAGCCAATTTAATCCCACGCCCCGATGTTGGCCAATGAAGATGAGGAGAAATAACAAATCGTCGTCTTTGTCATTGTGAATAGTTCTTTGCTTTTGGCATCCCCATCCCCATAAAAGAATCAGAAAGAACCCCTCCGCCGTGGTCACGTGGTCATAACACGTGCAAGCTAAATCACATCGCGCACGTGATCAAAGAGGCGACCGCCGATGGGCAAGCACGATATTATAAAGTCGCCCTGCCGAGGCATGACGAGGCACACGACGCCCTTAACACCACCTATTATTCTCCGAGTAACTCGATAGAATCAAAGGGAAATCAACAAATCATTGGGATGAATAGACGCCCCTTGAATAAGTGCCACCTCCACACGCCTTCTTCCTGAATTATCATCCCCAAAACTATTCGGCATTGCTCGGGACACGGATCAACCGCCTTCGCATTGGTTTCTCCGAGGTTCAGTACCCCACAGTCGACCCCAACCAACTTCCATCAATAATCACCTCCACCATCCGCCCTTGCCACGCTATCATCTCCTACCTTTTGCTACAATATCTTCCAATCTCCTCTCTATAAACTACACGCACCCATAGCGAATCCATTTTTATTCACACATCATTTATAGACCTCTGTACTGTTCCAAGCACCAGCACCAATGTCGTTTATGGGTGGCGCCGAGTGCTCGACGGCTGGCAACCCGCTAAGCCAGTTCAGCAAGATCGGACAGGATGACAAGAGTCTGCAACGAGATAGGCTCGTGGGGAGAGGCCCGGGGAGTGCGCAAGGGATGCGCAGTACGGGAATGAATGGAAACCAAGATAATGTACTTCCCCTACAAACTTCGCTGCTGCGTTTGCATATATGGGGCCTTGCTGACATATCTAGATGATGAACGAGTTTCTACAACAGGGCGGCCAACTACCACAGGCACCCGTCGACCCTTTTATGATGGAAGCAATGCACCATGCCGGCCCTGGAATCCAACGAGGCACATCACCACAGGCTCAAGGTTGGGCGCAGGAGTTCCAGCCCGGCATGCCGCAAGAATCACACATGCAACCAAACTTCCAGACGCCCCAGGCCGCCGGATTCAACCCCGCCGAGTTTTCCCGCTTCCAGCAGATGAACCAGCCTGCAGCCGCACGAACAGCAAGTCCGGCGGCCCAGATGCCCATGTCGGGCTATAATTCATACCAGAGGCCCATGGGAATGGGTATTGGGATGGGGATGGGCGGCGGCTTCGGCATGGGCGGTGGGATGATGTATCAGAACCAGAGTCAGATGCCCATGAACCAACAACCGCAGGAAGCGATGGACAAGGGCAAGGGTAAGATGATTGAGCTCGATGACGAACACTGGGAGGAACAATTCAAAGCCATCGACTTGGCGGCCGAAGAGAAGGAACAGAATGACGCGATCGAGGCGGAGCTGAATCAAATGGACAGGTCAGTTGAACATCTAGAGTCCGAAACGAATGAGTTTGGGGACTTTGAAGCTATCTGGCGTGGAATCCAAGCTGAGACCGCTGCTGCCAGGGACCTCGTGGCCGACATGCCCTCTCCGAACGAACTCGACATGGGCAGCTTTGACCAGTGGGATGGATTTGATGGCATGGGGAGCCATGCAGCGTTCCGAGATCCACACCTGGGCGATTACACCTTTGAGGCGGACAACATCTTCGCCGACGTCCCGAATGCATTTGAGGAAGGTGTGCGCATCATGGAAGAGGGCGGAAACCTCAGTCTCGCAGCTCTGGCATTCGAGGCTGCGGTTCAACGCGACTCTTCGCACCTAGCGGCCTGGGTACACCTCGGTTCTGCACAGGCGCAGAACGAAAAGGAGACCCCGGCCATCCGGGCGCTCGAGCAGGCCCTCAAGATCGACCCCTCGAACCTCGAGGCTCTCATGGGCCTTGCCGTCTCTTACACAAACGAGGGCTACGACAGCACCGCCTACCGCACCCTCGAGCGCTGGTTATCTGTTAAGTACCCCGCCATCGCACCACCCAGTGGCCTCTCAGCTGAGGCGGACATCGGTTTCACCGACCGCCAGCAGCTGCATGAGAAGGTCACCAACCTCTTCATTCAAGCAGCGCAGCTGAGCCCCGATGCCGAGACCATGGATCCCGATGTCCAGGTCGGTCTCGGCGTCCTCTTCTACGGCGCCGAGGAGTACGACAAGGCAGTCGACTGCTTCTCCGCCGCCCTCGCCTCCACCGAGTCCGGTTCCACCAACGACTCCTCATCCGTCCACCTGCTCTGGAACCGCCTGGGCGCCACCCTCGCCAACTCCGGACGCTCCGAGGAGGCCATCAATGCGTACGAGCGCGCCCTCTCGATGCGCGGAAACTTTGTCCGCGCACGCTACAACCTCGGAGTCAGCTGCATCAACATTGGGTGCTACGAAGAGGCGGCTGCGCATCTACTCGGCGCGCTCGCTATGCACAAGGTCGCGGAGCAGGAGGGACGCGAAAAGGCCAAGGACATCCTCGGCGGCGATGGCACAGGCAAGGTCTCCGAGGCGGAGCTTGAGCGCCTGATCAACCAGAACCAGAGCACGAATTTGTATGATACCCTCCGTCGTGTATTTAGCCAGATGAACAGACGGGACCTGGCTGAGCGTGTCGTGAGCGGCATGGATGTGGATAGTTTTAGAGGTGATTTCGAGTTTTAGATAGGGCAAGCATATGGGGGACATGGGAAAGGGTTGGGATTTTGGGGTATATGTATAGCGTATGTGCTTATTCCGCGTCAAAAATAGATGTAGTGGTTTCAGGAGACGGTGCTCCAAATATCAAAAGAGCATTATCTTCTCGTTTGCTATCTGTCTCGGAAATCTGAACGTAAAAGGCGCAAATGTCTCAACGCCCTCGTGATAACCCGCAAAAAATACAAAGCACCGTACCCGATGCTTCGCAGTACACAGAAGGCCTCCAATCGCTATGCTGCCGTGTGTATAAGTTGTATATACAATATAATACGAAAACGACGCTACGCGAAAATAAATGCACAACCAGGGCTGTAATTGACTAGAAACCAAAGGGATTGTCGGGAGCTGCGAGGAGTCAGTAACCAATTTATACAATTTTTCACGAAAATTAAAAACTCACTAGCTGCTGCAAGGTTGGCTCTCTTGCCTGTTGGTTGGGGAGCGAGCTTCTTCGCGTCGGGCTTCACGCCGAAGCGTACTGGTGGGGGAGGTCCAGTCTTCTGAGGAAGTAGCGGCGCAGGAGCCTGCTGAGGCATAGGTGGAAGTGGGGGAACAGGTCCCTGTCCGAAGTTGTTCATACCGGTTGGCTGAGAGAACATCGGGCCAGTTTTCTGGGGCTGCAATGCAGGAGGGAGGTAGTTGTTGACGCCTGTCTGCTGTGTCTGCTGGGGGTATTGTTGCTGCGGGTTGAACGGGCTTTGGAATCCGGTTGGCTGGCTCTGGATAGGCGAGAATGGTTGAATTCCCCGTGGATCAGCAAATGGGCCCGCTAAGGGCTGGCTCTGCATGAAGTTCTGGTTTGGCTGGAAACTGGTTGGCTGAGGCATCATCATGTTTTGCTGGTTAGGGAAGCCAGTTATTTGGGGCTGGAACGGCATCTGTTGCTGGTTATATTGCTGCAGCAGTTGCTGATGCTGCTGCAGCATTCTCATTTGGTTCATCTCGGCTAGACTTTGCCCTGGAGGTGCAATAGACTGGTAGCCCGTTGGCTGGCTAGGGATACCAGTCATCTGTGGCTGCAAAGGAGGTGGAGGGCCGAATGCACTCTGTTGGGCCGTTTGTGGTGCCGACAGGGGTCGCGCTGGAGGCGGCGGCATTAAAGAGCCTTGGCCACCAGAAAACTGTGGTGCAGCTGGACGCTGGCGGGCAATATTTTGCTGAGGCTGGAAACCCTGTTGCTGTTGCGTACTTTCGGGCTGTGGGAGATTTGTGAAGAATGATGGACTTGCACCAGTAGGTTGAGAAAGTTGCTGCTGGGCTTGTGCTTGTTGTTGAGGGGGCTGTGGTGTTACAGGTTCCACCTTTGTAGGCTGTAGCGGCTGCGACAATAGAGAGAGCTCTTGCATCGAACCAGTCAAGGTTGGTGGAGGCGGCTGCACCGGGGTAGGAGCAGCTTGTTGTGGCTGTGGCTGTGCTTGTTTCGCAGGTTTGACATCCCAAGCATCATCGTCGAAGCCACCAGATGCTGACTTCGAAACTGGGGCAGGTGCCGATGCAATCGGGGTGGGAACAGACTCCGCTAGTGTATTCGTTTGTGGTTTTCCAGAGTTCTGCTGGGAAAATGCCTTTGGATCCACGGTATCATTCGTTTGGGTTGTCGGTGCTGGTCGCCCTTTCCGGGTGTTGTTCCTCAGAGCGCCCCCAGCGCCAGAAAATAGACCGCCTTCGCCTTCCGCCTCATCGGATCCCTTCTTGCCCTTCCGGTTATACTTGGTATCGAGGTGTCTCATGATCTTGAGGATATCTCCTTCGCGTAGCCCCAGGTTCCTCAAGACTGTTGCATCAACGTCGGGAAGCACGCTCTCATCCATGTTATCCCTGTTGAACACTTGGGAGTAACGTTCGCAAAGGCCAACTCCGATATCACACAACAAGAAAAAATTAAACCAATCATGGTTCGGCTTCTTTTCGATGCTTGCGCCCGCTTTAGACTCTCTAGCCTTCGATTTCTTATACTCCGATAATGGCTTATCTTCGTCAAGGGATACGCCAGTCATGTTCTCGACGTATTCAAGATCTTCAATAGACATCTTAGAAACTGGTACGGCAATCTTGACGCCATTCATCTTATGCAGATTGATCTTGCCATCTTTCAGGGCGAGAAATTGGGCCTCAACGCTGAACGACTTTGACCGGTCGGTCCATGTGCGAACTTTCGATGGATCCGGTTCTATACGCGTTAGACCATATCTTCGGTGTAGTATTGGTAGTTAACTTACTAGCTTTAGGGCCTCGTGAACTTCCAGACTCGGGTTGTCTCGATTCGCGCCTACTCCTCTGTTCATCGGCACGGTTATTGTTGATTGGGGCATGCAAACTACTGCCTCTCGGAGGCAAAATCATTCCAGGGCCTACCTCTGGCGCTCTATCCCCCTCTCCACGGCCTGCCTTTAGCGCTTCCTTGGCAAGCTTTTGCTCCTCGAGCCTGTTTTGTTCTACTGCCGACATTCCTGCATTAACCCCTTTATGGCTGTCTGGAACCGCCATAGTACCGGTAATCTCGACGTAGCTACTGGGGACAACGCCCTGCTTGCCATTCTTGAGTCGCCTCACTTGCCACCATTCGTCGCTCTTGGAGTCATCCAGAATAATCACTTCGTCTCCGACAGCCACGGTTACCTCGTCATCACCCTGAGCCATGAAGTCATACAAGATTTGCCCTTTCTTCTTCTCCTGGCCAGTGGCGGCTGACAACACTTCTCTCAGGCCTTCAGCTCTGACAGCACCAGACATCTCGCCAAGAGAAAAGACAATCTCCTGGGCAGTATCTTTAGCTCCGGCATGAAAGTCTATGCTTTTGCTAGGTTTTACTAATTCAAGAAAGACATGCTTGCCCTCAATCGAATAATGTGTCATCTTGTCCGCAGTCCACTCCTGTTGGGGTCCATCCCGTGTCTTCTCGGGCGCAATGGTTATAATACCGGTCGCCAGGTTGATTCCAAGAGTAGTTGGCATTTTCTTTCGCTTGCCCATAACCGATACCATTTCGTTAATATTATAAAGGTGGAAGCCACCCGATGTTCGAGGTGCATAGTTATCATTATCGGGGTGATCGCCAGTAGCGAACGAGACGCGGTTATGAGGAGGAGATATAATCGGGCCGGCAGGCGGTGGAGATCGAGGGGATTGTATCGTTTGGGATTGAGGCCGCGCTGGGAGAGAAGGAATGGGTGCGTCTTCCCCATCAGATGATTCAGGGGTCAATTGTGGTCGCGGCGGGAGTTGTCTTGGTGGTTCCGCCGCCTGGTGTCTACCTTGAAGCACTCCGGCTAGGGCAGACGCCGGAGTTGCAGCAGCTTCTGGCTCTCGCGCATTGAAATCATCCGATTCCTCGCTTGGTTGTCTCTGCGCAGCAACAGGCCTCGCAGGTGTCGGAGGGGCTTCCTCTTCAACTTCGATGTAATTGGAAGGTGCAAATCCATAATCACCATCAAGTCCAACCAAAATCCAATCCGGGTCCGTGGTGTCAAACACTTGAAGGTGCGATTCCTCCTTGAATGATAGCTCTTCGTCGGTTTGTCGCGTATAGTCGAACAGAGCTCGAGCTTGCTGTGTTGGTTTGACCTAGTGTTGGTGAGTTAGTTGGCTGTAATCCAGTCCAAGCAAGACGAGCAAAGATGCCGGTCATGCCTGAAATGCTTTCCGCGGGCTGCCATTGAGAGGGGCACGGATACTGTGGAAAGGGTTTACCTCTTCAATGTAATTGCTCGGTATTAGTCCAACCGGCTCATCATCCTCCTCAGTTGTAGCCTTCCTTTTCGCCTTCCACCAGTCATCCTCAGTGCTCTTCTCAAGCACATACAGGACATCGCCTTCAGATATGGTCAGCTCGCCTTCGCCCTGAGGGGTGTAGTCGTATATGGCTTTGTATATTCCAAGGAATCCCATCTTGCGATGCGGGGCTAACGCCTACGAGCAGCGCACGACAGCAATAGCAAATCGACCGTCAAGGTAAGTCCATACGTAGACCAGGCGATGCAGCCTACAGCTAATGGCTAGGCGGATGCTGTTGTGACAACGTCAGGTCGCAATGTAGCCGGATGATGGAATTGCCACTTGTGGCTTTCGGGGGGACAACAGCGACGCAGTTGGAGTAGCAGGCTGTGGACGTGGACAGGATTGTGAGATTGGAGACTACGATAGTCTATGGACTTCTGCTTTGGGACAGGAACTCTTTGCTGTTTGCACCCTGAACAGGCCTCGATGTCGATAGGCGGATGGACATGGCTGGGGGATTTCGAAGAGGCTGAACACGCTCATTGGCTGTCTAAGCGACATGGCCATTCAAGTTCTATGTGCTATCCTCGACAACGACAACGCGTCAGACACCTGGATGACGACGCTAGAAGATGACTAATCAACAACTTCCTTCAATCTTCAATGGCTTCTCAATGTCGGTGACGCCAGCCTGCACTAGCTTTTGGTAGAGAAGTGCTCTCCAGCAGCCCTAGATTCCTCAAGTGTCAGTCCATGGACATCAAACCGCTGACAGGAGAAGATGGAAGAATCGTACAGGTGATCCAGTAATGCTGTCACCAAGGGCGTTGATCCTGACTGCCGCTGAGAGCGCGGGGGCTATGAGCCTAGCCAGAAGGCTCAAGGCAAAGACGGGCTTGATGGCAACCATTTTTAGGCTTATGATAATCGCGTTATTAGGCTTTATAGGCCAAAACTTCTACTTCCCCGAGGGCCATCTGCTCTATATGTAGTCGTCGAAAAACACTCTCATAGTTCTTCCGTAGCGCTGCACTTTGCAATATATTCGGATATTCTCTTTGGTAGTGTGTTTTAAAAAGATAAATAAAACAACAGATCTACTTAATCCCATGCTGTATTAGAAGGCGGGGAAATATCCTTCGTCATCCTGAGCCGCCAGGGCATTGCACTGAGTTTACTCTATTTCCTTCACGTGGCACGTAGCCAACGGCCACAAGTATATTAACTGTCCATCCGTTGGTGGGGTTCTCATACAATTCCAGCACTCTGTGGAGATATATACAGTGGGTGAGGCAACAAAAGGCTTGTATGGCCTCTCTAGTGTGGATAATCACTTGCTTATGAGTGGTGCTATTTATCTATCTGGAATGGTGTGTGTTTTCATAGAGCTAGTGTCAACAGGTCAAAGGCCTTAAATCGTCACCACTGACACATCCAGTATGCCCTCCTGAGCCACGAGCTCAGCGATATTGTCTTTCCCGACAATGCCATCGACTCCTAGAATCATCAGCGCCTCCTTTTGTAATTTACCGTTTGTGTTCTGGCCTAAAGCAGTATTGCCTGGGCCGTCCAGGGCCGCCACGCTCATAAACCTGATATTGATGTCGCGGCTGCCGAGGATACCACCCACATGCCCGATCATGCCCGGCGAATCATAGTTGTGGCAAATAATCAAGGTGCCTTCTGGAATGAAACTGGTCGTGAACCTATCAAGTTTCGAGATGTAAATCGAGTTTCCTGACACGTATCCCGAGATCATTTGCTCTCCTGTCCCATCGGAATTCGATGTTCGCAAGGTGACCAGACTGGCATATGTCAGGCCGCTGGATTCTCGACGATGACTTTCGTTGATAACAATCCCCTTTTGCTTGGCAATCAACGAGGCGTTGACAATGTTGACATCGCGGCCACCAGAGTCGGAGATGGACGATGTTAGCCCCTTGACAAGAGCAGCGAACAGGGGTCGAGTATTTGATATAGAAGCCAATTCTCCCTCGTAAATTAGGTTAAAGGTCTTGCCACCGGTGGCAGCTCCACGAGAGCTAAAGTGCTGAGTGTAGAAACTTCCCAGACTTTCAACAAGCCGAACAAATGGTTGTAGCTTCTTGTATTCCTCGGGTAGAATCAAAGGGGCGTTGACAGCTGAGGTCGGGAGGCCTCCGGAGAGAATTGTGAGGACTTGGGCACAAACATCCAAACTGACATTCTCCTGGGCTTCTACCGTGCTCGCTCCCAAATGTGGGGTAGCCACGACCTTTGGGTGTCTGCTAAGCTTTTGAGCTGCCGAATCTGGCGCCGGTGGCTCAGATGTGAAAACGTCCAAGCCAGCACCTGCAATTGTCCCGGCTTCCAGTGCTTCCAAGAGAGCTTCTTCGTTAAACACGCCTCCTCTCGCAACATTCAGAACTCTTGCAGTCTTCTTCATTTTCTTTAATTCTTCTGTGTTTATCAGATCCATCGTGCTCGCCACCAAGGGCGTATGGATTGTTAGAAAATCGACTAGAGGAAGGAGCACTTGTAAATCGGAAACCATTGATACTGAGTTCGCAGCGGCAATCTCGGGGCTGGAGTAAGGGTCCAAGGCAACGACTGTCATGCCCAATCCGACAGCCATACGTGCCACCTTGAGCCCAACTTTGCCCAGCCCAATTATACCAAGCGTTTTACTACTGACTTCCACCCCAACGAGTTTGCTCCGTATCCATTTTCCTTCTGAAAGGCTGGCAGACCCGGCAGGTACATTTCTAGCCGTGGCCAGAAGCAATGCAATTGTGTGCTCTGCGGCGGCCACAATATTCCCGCTGGGCGAGTTTACGACAATAACACCAAGGTCGGTGGCAGCTGCGACGTCAACATTGTCAACTCCCACGCCAGCTCGAGCAACCACCTTCAACTTCGTAGCAGCCGAGAGAAGCTCGGCCGTGACCTTGGTCTCCGAGCGGATGATCAATGCATCGTAATCTGGGATGAGAGCTTTTAGTTCATCGGCACTTAGACCAGAGCGCTGGTCGATATCGAGTGAGCCCCGGAGAATGGCGAGGCCGTCTAGTGATACCTTTTCTGGTATAAGCACTTTTGGGCGGACCGCAATTGGGACCAAGTCATTTTCAGGTACCGCAGTCATGATGCTGGGAATACAATCAAAAATAATCTATAGGATCTTAGGGAAATTGGAGAAGGGCTCTTCTGTAAGTATGAGTATATCTCTTGAGATATAGAATATAAAGAGAAGGAGCGGGGATGTGAGACTTCCACCTTTTCCTTTGTATTGCTACCTCCCCGCGATAGCTTGCGATATCGGTTTGGGGGTTACGTACGGAAGTACCAGCTGACAGATGACGACGCATCTTGGTGTATGACTGGATCAATTACCCCGCGCTATCACCCTGTACCCCATGTTACCCCACGTTCGCTTTGTCCTGGAGCGGGCCGACCCCAGTTACTAAGAGGATGGTATAATGATTAAGGCTCGGCGGCCCTATCATGCAGAGAGCGTGGCACGTTAATTGTAGTTGCGTGGGAAATATACATCTATCAGAGCATTCATACTTGCGATACCAGTCGAAAGCTGATCCCCCATCAATCATTAGAACATCACGTGTTAGTGAGATATTGCTATCAAATGGAAGCACCGGACTTCTCATAGATTAACAAATTGCTCTAGGTGACTATAGTAACAGTTTTAGCGTGTAACAGTAACATACCTATGTTACTGTTACAAATTGGTATTTAGTAAGGCGTACCTAATGCCAAGGTGCCTACTCTAGCCCTACGTGCCTAAATAGGAAAGGGGACTGTCACACTATAACAGAACTCTGTCACACATAACAGAACTCTGTCACACTATAACAGAACTCTGTCACACATAACAGAACTCTGTCACACTATAACAGAACTCTGTCACACTATAACAGAGCCATTTCTAGTATATCATATGTAGTTAGCTATAATTAACAATTTGAACGACATCCTATGCTTAAAATAGGTGAATACTATATATTACTCTATAATAACTATAGAAGCTAACCCTTACAGCTTGTGGCTAGTAATGTACATAGAAAGTGCCATCTATAAAGCCCTAGACCCCCTAACCCTATAGACTCTCTTAACCCTAGCGGCAAACTCTACTAGCTAATGGTATATTAGCTAGTGGTGCTACTTGTTACAATGGTCACAGAGGTTAGCATGCTGTCATACTGACATTCGTTGCACTCAGTTTGCTATCAAACTCAAGAGCAAACTTAGAAATCTCCTCCTCAAATCTACAAGTCACTAACGTGGTTTATCAGTACGTCGGACATATCAGTACCTTGGACACTTTTCATTGGCATTCTACTTTGAATATCAATAAATCAACCATAACATATTAAATTAACTATAACTAAGCGGAATCAGATGAACTAGACATATCTATAGCTTCTTGACAAGTTCGCGCATTATGACCAGCTTTTCCACAGATCCCACAGCATCGCCTAGACGGTTGCCCCTCCTTGCGACTACCCCCAACTGCACGTACGTCGCGTCGTACCTGCTCATCCACATCCTTCTGTGCGATAATAGCCTGTGCATCCTCTACTATAAGTGCACCTCCTTCACGGACACGAGCCTTTTTAGCCCTGCGGCGTTTGCTAAGGGCTTCGTTGGCTGCTCGAAGGGTACGTACCTCAGCAGACAGAAGGGTGTTCTCATGTGCTAGTCGCTCCATACCCTTTGCCAATGCAATAACTGTCCTGAAGAGTGGAGTTGGCGAGCTTCCTTGGTGACGGGCAATTCGATTTCGAACGAGGGTTGTTTGTGAAAGAGCTTCAGTTGGGTTGGAAGGGGTCTGGGAGACCCAAGGGTTGGTGTTGGCAGTAGAGGGTCTAGAGGGAGTTGGAGTCCGTAACCTCACGTCAAGCTTTGAAAGCACTGCTTGCGGGTCGAAAGGCACTAAGCCAGCTCCGCGGAACCCGGACTGGGCGTTTTGGGCTGTCATGGATTCCAGATATGCTGCTCTAAAGGCGAGAAAGAACTCGACCTTGGTAATGTGGTTGATATGAGCCTTAATGAAGGTCTCAATCTGCCGACCATATGCCCGCTTCAACACACTAAAGCACCCGACATCAAGTGGCTGAGTTAAATGAGACGAGTGGGGAGGTAGTCCAAGAGTTATAATGTTGTGTGCCTTGCAGTACTCTTGGAACTCAGCCGATTCATGACTCTCGTGCCCGTCTAACACCAGCATTCGATATGGACCCCTTGCACGAACAGCAGTATGTTTGTCGAAGTGTTTCAACCATTCTAGACCTGTCTCATTGTTTGTCCATCCATTGCTTGTCAGTTTAACAACCCAGTTGTGTGGAAGGCCGCCGTCTGTATACCAATTTGCAAGATGATTCTTGCCTTTAACTACCAAAAATGGAGGAATACTCCAGCCGTCACTGTTGATACAAGCAATCGCTGTAGCCCATTCCCGATTCCCTGGCTGAACTGCCTTACCTCTGCCAAGTCAATCTGCACGGGTAACAACCATTGCAGGGCAAATCACACCCATCATAAACCCAGTTTCGTCAAAGTTATAGAAGTCGCAGTCCAAAACACCATATTTTGCCCTCATATTTTCTACTAGTCGAAACTACGCGCCAATTAGTTCAGGATCTTCGCACAAGGCCCTTTGGAAGTCGTAAACGCGATTAAAACGCGTCTTTAATTCTGGACGTCGTTGTACAAATTGGTGGGCCCAGAGCTTCCCGACGCGCCTCCCTCCACGCGATTCGAGTATAAAATTTGCCATATCTTCTACACCAGCAAGCCGGGGTGCAAATCCTCTTGAATCCATATCAAGTATATTCCGAATAACCACCTCCTCTTCTAGTATAGTTAATTTCATCATTGCAGGCCGGCGTTCGTAGACAGTAGTTCAGCCGTTCA